AGTCAAGAATTTTAACCCTTTGAAAACTATACTATTATAATAATCGCTTAATTCGCACGCTACTATTTTTTACAGAACCAGTCAAGTGGTAAAGCTATTTGACATTTTAACCGCCTACTATAGGTTTCAACTTAAGGTTTCGATACAGTGCCCATTAAATAAATATTGATAAGAAATTATAATGCCTCTAAATAATTCCCACATAGCGCTGTTATCTTTTAACGAATGAGTTTAAATAGTAATTTGCATGAGCAAATATAAGTATGATCACAGAATAATACTATTTGATTAAGTACTGTACGACACAATTTATAAACATGCGAAGATCACGAACATTACTTACAAATAAGCGATCAGAGAGAAAAAAATATGGACACTAAAGGGTAAACTCACTCTACATAGAAAATCGAAAAAGTTCAACATCTCTCGGCACTGGTACATAAAGAACTTTTAATTAAGTCCATAAAAGCAATCAATAAACTGATTGAATTTGATGTTGTACATTATTCTTTAATTTATTTTAAGATCTTTGAAAATATAGTTGAAATTCTTTAATGACAAATCACGACAGCCGGTCCTTTTCACAACTATTCGTTCGTGCAAATTAGATTCAAGAAAGCGAAGTGGTACGAGTATTTGAAATTCAATAAAACGTTTAATATTAATGATAAATGTACGTATGAAACAGATATCAATAAAATATATAACTCTGCCTTGACGATTTGATGAAGTAGAGCCAGATGCTCATTCTAGTATAGAAGAATTTTTCTTTGGAAAGGAGTTTGTTTGCATAATAATTCAGTTATGAGATCATAGAAACGCTGGCTGGACTGAAGACAAATACAGGAGTTTGCGATGCACTGGTTCCAGACTTACAGATTTAAAAGCACAAGTACGTTTGTTTTGATATTTTCCTCTATAATGGTCCAATAGGTTGTCATAATTATTATTGGTTGCTTAGGTAACCTATATTTAAGATGCAAACACCTGTGTGTTACATAAGTATTTGCATAAGATCATAAATATAATCTGACTCCATTCTCTAAAGTAAATGATATTTGCATCAATATTTTCTCGCGTATTAGTTGTGTTTAAATTCTAGATAAACATTGCGATATTATTAGGTTTATTTAAGTTGGTGCTCCTCCTTCTCCCTAGATAGTCTATCCAAGTCACAGATAATGCCTTATTTATCTATGTCCAAGTTGAGATTCCTGACCTTTTCTAGTTGACTCCTTAGCAACATCTCCATTATAATATACCTTTTATCATGTATGTGTATGTATAACTTGATGCTCGTTAAGGATTCCAGCAATATCATGTCGTATAAGAATAGATGGAACCTATTCGCTAGGGAAATGGAGCGAGGACTGCCAAGCACGCTAGAGTGGGTGGCATAGATACTGAAATCGGGAGAGCTATTATGATACCTTTATTATGATCTCAATATTACATATTAATGGAAAAACAATATGTTTGTATAATATTAAATAATATTAATACATATTTATGTCTAGGATTCTGTATCATTGTAAAAAAAAAATGGATTATGAGTACAATAAGTGTTTTCTATGCGGGGATCAATCTTGAATCCATAGAGTTTGTTATTATCCGACAAGTTTGTTTTAACATTAGGAACAGTATAATTTAGCATTATGTCTGGATTTTCATGCCCTATTAACATGGACGACACGTTCGCGATAGCCCAAATATTATAATCTTCCGAAAGTGTCAAAACAACGTCTAATTGGAATATAATACCAAACGATCCTCAGACTAAAAGCTTTTCGAGGTTACTGTCGTTGCCATAAGAATATTGTCGTCTATTAAGACACCGTTCATGTCTCCATTGGCTTCGTTTAGGGTGGTATTAAACTAAAGTAATTGAAGTCATTATTCTGTTGTAGACAGACATCACATGCACAAACATTGTGTGCGGTCATTAAAAGATGCTGCTCATATAAATGTTTAATGTAGAGTTGTGTTTGCATACTTTCTCCTTTACTGTTGCAAGGATATTCATGTTTCTGCCGTGAATATTGGTTCGATTTTTACTATTTTCGAATTCAGAGTATTTTTAACACTAAATTCAACTAATACTGGTTAAAATGAGAAAGCGGCTCACATTTCAATTCTCAAAGGATATTTTACGTAGGAATATCGATCGATCGATATGAAAGCCCCAATTTCATCATTTCTTTATCCGTGATTAATTAATAAATAATGCGAAAAACCAATTTATCGATAACAGAAAGGAAGGCCACTTTCTATCTTTTCGCTCTCGGCATAGAGCTCTTTTAACTCGTCAGTGATCTAGATAAAAAAACTAGATAGTTGCCAAGCATACAGTAAATTAAGTCAAGTGTGTTAAACTTGAGGATCAATTTACTAAATACTGTCCGTGGTTATCAGTCATGTCATCTCGCAACTTCGTAGGGTTCACCTTCCATGTTGTGGTAACAACATCGTGCACGCCATATTCTTTGCTAATACTACATAGAGGCAGGGTTACAGTTTTCTACAGAATAAAAATGTACCTTGTAATATTTGTACAGGTTTTTTTAGTTGGCTTTCTTTTTCCATTTTTTTTAAATATTTCTGTAGCTGATTAAGTCCTTAGCTAGCTGATAGGTAGTAAGTAAATATTAAGTTTAATAGTCCTCTAAACTCAGATTACAAAGGTAGTACATGTCATGCTGTGAATGAGTGACTGACAAATTATACATCAAATCATTGAAACGATCGTGCCATTGCGTAACTGAATTGGCAAACAATCCAGGGTGACAAAGTCATCAATTGAAATGCTTTGTACAAGGTTCTTTACCCATTCCGCAAGTTAGCAAAACGGTGTGAAATTAGAATTATTATTGAACCGCACCGGTTCATTCCACAAACATTTGTACAATGAAATGCGCTCGCCAAAATATTATCAAATGCATTTCTTGATGGCTGCTTTAAAATTAGAGCGAAACATGCGAATGCGATATTTCAGAGTTATACGAACTTAACGTCACTGACTGCCACACATGCTATCGCAATTAGTGGCATTGTGAATTGTGTAAACAATAAGCAATAACTAAAGCTAAAACTCTGAAGACATGACGGTTTTTTATGAAGATTCTAAAGACGCAAAGTCCTTAGCGTTTGCTCTACGTGACCATGACTGGCAGGAGAATAAAAGGCTTATAGTGGTACCCACCATTTTGATAGACATTCTACGTAAAACACAGTCGCCTATCTTCTTCATACTGATAACATCATGAATATTTTCTGTCTTGTTATGATCCCTAGAGTCAGATAGTGCCATGCGATATGAATATGATAGCAAACAGTGCGTGCGTGATCTCCGCTCGTAATGTCCGGGTTCAATTGTCTGAATTAAATCGCATGCCGACATATTCTTGGTACTGTTTGTGCGACTGTGGACAGCAGAATCTTATGCATGTATTGCATACAGCTGTGGCCTCTTTGTGTGAATTCGTGGTCACTTTCGAATAAACTGCTTTATTATACATAGATGAGACAATCATTTTCTTTGCATACGGAACATGTAAAATTGTATCTACATTTTTGCATTTCGCATGCTTATTTAGACATATTTTATATCATTTGTAGTTAGTTATGTGTTAGGCTCATTCTAAATAACGTTTTTACGTAGAAACGGAAAGTTTATATCGTTGATGTTGTTTGGAGAAATTCAATATTATTTTCTGCGAGTAGGTGTAAGAGGATTCAACTTGTTAGCGACAGTCTAGTCAGACACAACCATACCTACATGGGTACTTAAAATATATTTCATAAGACCTTGAAGTAAATTATTCTCAAGATTTATTTATAGAGTTACTAAATATGTGAAAACTAATAAGGATAGCTACTGAAAAACCTATGGCAAAAAGAAACACTTTTAGTGTAAGTCATGCTGTTGCCATGCATCTTTCGTAGGAACTTAGTAGTGAAGTCAAAATATGAGAGAGAATGCAGTTCGACTTGTAGTAGTCATAACTTAAACAAAGTAGGTGGGGCATAGCTTGTACGAATGGGAAGTAATTGACACAAAAAATACGAGTCAGGTCAGACCATAGACCAAGGTTATCACGGAGTATAACGACCTCAAAAGTCATCGGATCTCCACGGTAGTAACACACGTGGAGTAGAACACGCAATAAGTCAATATGGTATTGCGAAGTGCAAGTTATCTGTTTGAAATACGGCACGCAAAAGCGTGTTGACATTCAGACCCAGTTGTTTTGCTACGGAACTTCTCATGCAGCCAAAACATGGGTTTAGTAATAAAACAACTTAACATAATGCAGAACTTTATGAAAATCTGTGCAGATTTACACTTCTTTAAGGAAAACAAAAACGGTAAAGTAATACTAAAGTATACGGTAAAGTAGTATCTGTCCCATATTTTCCTGTTTTAATGGCTTTAAATATAACGAATAGGGAAACTTTAGCGAATATCCTTTGCAGTAAATTAGAAATTTTATACAACTAGTAGGTCATGGAAAATACAATAGAGATCTTGGGCTGGTTTGCGACTGTACAAAAAGTGGGAATGTGAGTCAAGGCAATTAATGTAGTTGTCGTCACCAAGACAAATATCTGTCCGTTTTCAGTACAAACCGCTGAATCATTATTCATTTGTGATACCACACGTACATTGTCATAAACTGTAGGCCCCGCCACCGCGTTTGTCGGTCGTCCTGTGGTTGCTTCAGATCCTACTGTAGGGCTTTTGATTCAGTATTCTCTAATAAATTAATAGATTGAGCTGTATTATGTTAAAATCCCAAGAGACACCAAGCAAGTATTATGTAAGCATATAAATGTTATAAATTACAGTTAGTTAACAAAACCCACTTTGATCATGATAAAGAGTGCCCATGTTAGATATTTTTCATTGTTTCCATATCCTTGGAGTCTTGTTTAGTCACAACACAATAGTTACCATGCTTACAGAGACAGACCCAGTTAAATACTTGGAAAAAATAAGATACCTCATTCACTTTATGAGGTTCTCCTCCCCATATGTCCCTCCAGTGGATGAGGTGTTGCAATTGACTCCTGTAGTGGTGGTGGCGAGAGTGGTCGCGCTTTTTACGAGAATCGGTGGGAGAGGGAGGGACTGTCAGTGATCCCCGTCTCTCCGCGGCCTTGTTTACTATCGCCGGCGAAAGCGCGCCCAGGAGCCGCTCCGTCTCCGGTCCCTCATCAGACGACACGCTGTCCATGAGCGTTCGCGCACTCCTCGTGCCGCGTTCGCTTTGACTCAAACTACACTGTGAATCTTCTTTCTCCATATCGTAATACACTACACAACAGACAATGCGAAACTGTATTGAGAGGCGATCGGAAACACAAAGAGTGTTGATAACATTTCGCAAACGGAATGATAAAAGCACAAAGGAGGTCACGCTCGGGCGGTGAGCGGCGCGCGCGAGCGGCGCCGGCGGCAGACTGCGGCCCGGCGCTCGGCGCTGGCACGTGGGCGCAGACGTCAAAACAACCAACACGCCGCCGCCGAACGCCGGAATCCGCACGCCGGACGCCGAAATAGCTTATCATCATTGCTTTTTTTAAGATCAAGGTAGCTAAAAATATTTGTTTAATTCTAACTCAAAATTATTTGAGGCCTAATCCAGAATCCTATTGGCTGAGGTTAGCACTTAGGTTGTATGGAAAAAAGAAAGGTTCTTATTCAAAGAAAGTGATTTTATTTTATGATTTCTTAACTGCTGAGTTATAAGATGGCACCCACCTCATTCTACATTTGCTTGAGAGATAAAGATAAATAACTAATCAGTTTGTCATTGAGCCACCCAAATGAAATCTTTGCCCATGAATAAAATTATCTTCATATTAAAACAGAAAATAAAAATAGCGGCAAGGTCTAGGACCAGTGGAGTTTAAAAATATACTTTTAAGAATTCTTATCTGTACATGCATTACATAGCTATGGAGATTAAAAATACTAAGAATAGTTCCAGCTACAAAGTTAAAAGCAGTTAGGTATTTGATATTAATTCCTCTGATACTTTACATCCTGAGTTCCTACAGGTAAACCTCAATTAACAACTGATAGCAAAGTAAAAAATAGGGAAAATTTGCATTGTAAATCATTTCTACACCAGAAACAGGCTAAAGACAATAAGACAACTGACTGAGACTGAAACATGAGCTGTAAAAATTTATCTAAAAGAAATTGTGGCTTAGTAAAATATTGTGATGAAAATGATGAAGATATTGAATGCTTTTTATTGAGAACAACTGCACTAAACAAATTGTAAATCAGCATAATAACTCTGTCATAGAATAGAACATTTTTAAGAATATGATTAGGCCTTGCAAAAGTGGTTAAGAGTTTCGAGGCATTTATGTATATTGGCTTTTGTAGTAATATTTACGTAATTACATGATAAATAGAAAATAAGTACACAAACAAGAATGGCAACGAGAACTGAAATTAAAATGATCGTAATGAAATAACACATACCTGAAGTACAAACACTGGGAAGGATACACGCAGCAGACACTAATTACATGTTTTATTCAAAATATACACTTCTCAATCGCATTAGCCTAATAAAAACCGTCATCCATCCTGCAGTAAATTATTTTGATACGACAATCGATTTATTTTTGAACATTTTTGTTTGATGTTGATTTTGACATCTGTCAGAGTGACAGTCGTCACCATAGAGAAAAGTAATAACTTAAGAAAGTCGTCACAGATTAAGCATAGGGTACGGTCGTTCCGAAATACATGGCGTGCGGTCACTGTGCTTATACTCTGGTGATGATGGTGCGGCGGACTGCGGCGAGCTATACGCGCGTCGTCTCCTATTCGTAACCGAGGCTGCTGACTGATCCGTTAAAATGTCCGCCTAGTTCCTGTCGATGACATTGACAGTGGGGCGCCACCGTCAATACCGGATCGCTGGTTCAGATTTTTGCCATGTTGGAAACCATATAGTTGAACGATGGTAGCGCCCCCCTGTCATTGAGTTTGGCGGGACAGTTCAGTCAGCGTGGGTCATCTATATTTCAGATTCGATCAAAAAGTGCCACTTGTTGTCTATCCTGCAGCTTTACAGCAGGCAGTGCTTTAAACACACCTTAGTTTTGATCACAGTGCATTTCGGAACATTCATATGTTTGTCAATGTCAAAATTGTCAAATTGAAATATGTCAGACGCGTAATCGGCCGCACCGGGTTGTTGTAGTTATTCGTTTACTTTTCCTATTTTCTTTTTAAATGGCTTATTAATTGAATGAATTAATCTAAATACACTTAACAAAAATAAAATTATACTTAAAGAAAATATGGCATTGCCTCAGAAGAAATTTTACCGTCAGCGTGCTCATTCTAACCCCATCGCTGATCATTGTTTTGACTAGTAAGTTACAAGATGCTGTAAAATAAAAACATCTTAGTGTAAAATTGTTTCTATGCGTATTTTCTAATATATCGTGACATTTTCTAAATACACTTATTCAACCTTTTACCTCGCCGAGCTCTTTGTGCTGTGATTGCTACCATAATATTACAAGTGATCACTGAAATTACGTATATTTTCTATTTCATTTGAAATGGATGTTCATTGTTTTTGGACTAGGAGATTATTTGATACTCCCTCAGCAAATACTCAGTTTAGGACTATCATGTTGATACAGAAATCATAAATTGATAGAGTACTTCAATGAAATGATTAGGCCTGTTACACCAGCTGTAATCTTATTTGGTTAAAGTGCCTTGTTATCAGTGCCACATAAATACCTAGTTACATTATTTTATTTTAAAAAATCTTTATTTCAGTCCAGCCCACCCTGATGAATATGACTGGTCTACTTTATATCCAATTTTAAAAGATCAACCCAAAGAAAAACAAGTGGAATTTTTAGATGTTGGTTGTGGATATGGAGGGCTTCTAGGTACTAATCTCTTTTTCTTTAATTCTTTTGTTTCCTTCATTACTTGGAATTTGTTATTCACTTAGTAACCTACCAAATAAATGTTACTTTTTTACTCGAATTGATTAAATTAAATTATTTTTTGTTATTTCCTTGTATTTTCATGGATGTAGGTACCTACTAATTATGTAGATATATACTTGAATAATTGTTAATCAGAATTACTCCTTACAATGATTATTTTTTGGCATTAATGACAATGGTAATGTGATTTTTCCAGTTACACTGTCTGCAATGTTTCCTGAAAACATTATGTTGGGGCTGGAGATTCGAGTGAAAGTATCAGATTATGTCAATGATCGCATAAAAGCATTAAGAATCCAAGATGCTAACAGTTATCAAAACATTGCTGTACTGAGAACAAATGCCATGAAGTACTTGCCAAATTTTTTTCGGAAAGGACAAGTATGTTGTTAACATTTGATATCTAAACATAAGTGGTCTGTTTGTAATTTGGAAACTTTTTAACATAAACATCCTGGTATATTTTCAGCTCAAAAAGATGTTCTTCTTGTATCCAGACCCACATTTTAAGAAGTCCAAACACAAATGGAGAATTATCAACAAATGGCTGCTCTCTGAATATGCATATGTCCTGGCTGAGGAAGTATGTAGCCTATATTTGTTCTATCATTTGATAAGGTACAACCAGTGAGAGATAATGTATTGATAGAATTTTTTTACTTTTAGGGAATAGTGTACACTATTACTGATGTTAAAGATTTACATGATTGGATGGTATTGCATTTTGAAGAACACCCTTTATTTGTTAAAATATCTGAAGAAGAATTGGTGAGCATTTGAGATTTTGTAATATGTATAATATAATGGTTATAGGTATATATTTTTAATTTAGTGAGGCTAATATGTGTAATGTCTCTTTCAGAAATCAGACCCAATAGTAGAGAAGCTATATGAAAGTACAGAAGAAGGACAGAAAGTGACTAGGAATAATGGCGAAAAACATCTTGCTGTGTTTAAAAGGATTGCAGATAATAGTAATAAGTAAATAAATAGACATTTTAATACAACATTCATTTAATTTATTTTATAATTAAAAGATACAAAGTTATTATTACACAAGAATTCACAAGTTATCAAATTCATGATAATATAAGTGCTTATCAATAACTATTAATAATAATGTTGTGAAAACGTCACAAACATCTATTAAACCTTATTTATCTACTTAGCTTTTTTTCAACAAGACTTACCCATCTGCTCAATGGGCGTGAGATATCAAGGTGTCGTCTCATGTGAACAGCTGCACCCACCATCCAGTCTTTTCTATCCAGCCAATTTTTATGTGACAAGAGTGAAAAGAGAAGTGCAGCCCAAATTTCAGAATGATGGGGATACTTATGTAAGCCACCCTTTGCCAGAGTCAATGCTTTGGACTTATTTCCAGCAATATGCTCAGCAATGCTGGCTGTAGCTAGTATTTTTGCAGAATCATAGTTATTATTGTATTGTATTGAACACAAAGCTTTTTGAGCACAACGGCTTCCAATTTTTGCCTTTGTCGTTTGCAGACAGTATTCTGCCATACAAAACCACAGGAGGGCATTGTAGGGATGATCATGAAGAGAATCACTAAGCAATTTTATAGCCTGCTCCACATTTCCCTCACAAATCAGAGGATACGATTTCAAAAATCCAATGTCATATCCAAACTTACTATCCTTTTCATATTTTTGCAATTCACTCAATGCAAGTTTAGTTAAACTCTGTTCTGAGTGTAACAATCCAATTGTACAAATTCCAAATAAACTGTATGCTGTAGGGTTTTTTTGAGATATTTGAATACTATGAAACAATATTGTTTTAGCATCATCTGGACCTTGATACATATACATAATCCCAGCCATGGCAACTAGAAGATCAGCTTTTTCATCATCATCATTACTCAGCCAATGGAGGGCAGTATCATAAACTGAGTAAGATTCTTCATATAAACCTTTCTTGAAAAGTGCAAGTGCAAGACCACAGGTCGAATTTAAACTGGCTTCAGTTATAGCTTTGTAGATTTTTATAGATTCTTCATAATTTTCAAGTCTCAATAAAAGTCTAGCAATATTTAAAAGAACAATATTCTTTTTGTCATCTTCTGCATATTGCAATGCCTTTTCATAAGATTTCAGTGCAGGTTTTAGCAATCCATTTCTTTCTTGCAGAATTCCAAGAATATTACAAGCACAAGCATTGTTAGGTTCGAAGTTACTGAACCATTCAACTAGATCTATTGCATAGGTTGTAGCATAAAGGCCTTCTATGGCATATCTGAATTCTGGGTCTTCTTCAAATCTATTATTCTTCAGTGTTCGACACACCCAGTCTGCATATCCTAGAGCACTTTCTGGGTGATATCCAAGCCTGCATGCATGTCTGAACAGGTCCATGGCTTCCTCTTCACGAATAGTTTCAGCAATTAAGGCCTGTCCAATCCAACTTTGTGGGTAAGATGGGAGAGTTGATTGTCCACGCCAGAAGCAATAGTTGGCTATCTTGTAAAGATTCAATTTCAGATATAAAGTGCCTAGATTACACCATATTTTAGCCACAGACCATTTCCTTGTTACAATCAAAGCCTTGATAAAACAATGTTGTGCAGTTTCATATTTTTTAATGAAAAGGCATATTTTGCCAAGTAAATTCCAATTACGCCATTGAGTTGGTTTTTCTTTCACACAAGATATAGCCAGATTGAATGCAATGTGACAATTTGCCACTTTTTTGCTATCTTGATAAAATGCCAGATAAGCTGATGCCAAGTCATAAGAAGCCAATAGACCATTTTGTTTTGCGATAAAGGAATAACAAACAATAGCCTGAAGGAAAATTTCATCCTTTTCTTTTTTTACCAATTTCTCGTCATTCATATCAAAGAATGAGTCCTTGATAAAAACATATTTATATGTATCTGGTAATTTTGTGATAAATATTAAAGTATCTCCAAGTAATTTCCAAAAACATAGAAATTGTTTTTGTATGGCTATAGCTTTCATAATGTAATCTATAGCACATTGTGCATAATCTCTTGCACTGCCATACAGATTGGCTGATACCTTCTTTTTGGCTAAATTTATTAGTGTTTCAGTTATTCCTTTCAGAGCAAGAATAGAATTTGCATCAATAGTCAATACTTTCTTGAATGCAATTATAGCATCATCATATTGAGTCAATAATGAGTAAATATAACCAATTCTTGTAAGGCAGTGGACACTTTTATTTGGATTCATTGTCATAACCTTGTTATATGCTCTCAAGGCTGAAGTAAAGGATCCACGGGAATAATAGGCATCTGCTAAGCATTCAAAAGCTGTTACATCATTTTGATTATCCTTAATAACATATCTGAAATTGATTATAGCATTCTCCCAATCCCTTCTGTTTAGGTAACGAAGACCTAATCTAAAATGTAACCATGATTCACTGGTCTGAATAGTTTTCTCAGCAGATGAGAGTAATTCAAAGTCCAAATCATTCAAATTCAACTTTGTATACAGCTCGCTAAGTTTCTTCACAATGTTGCTGTCATTATTGTTCAAATTGTAAGCTTTTTCATAACATTTTTTTGCTTTTTCAAGATCATCTCTTTTGAAATAAAAATGTCCAAGATAAAAGAATGTTTCTGCATGTTCTGAATCAAGTTTTGCAGCTTTCAGAAGATGCATAAGACATTTATCATACTGCTCCAGCTCCCAATAGGCTTTCCCTAAATAAAATTGATGTAAAGCATTATGGCTTGCATTTTCTAGCAATGTTATTGTTTCTTTGTATTTCCCTTGCTTCAGTAATGATAGAGCTTGAAGCTGACAGTAATGTTCTGTAGTTTTTAATTTTTCAAGTATAGGTTCAGCATTTTCATTGTTTTCTATAAAACACTCAGCAAGAGTAGCCAATTCAGGAACATTCAAATACTCTAGTGGAATTTCTTTGCTAACACTGAAAGCTTGCTTCCATTTATGTTGTTTCATGAGAGATGTGAATAAAAACTTTTTAAGGTCAATAGAAAACTTTGAACCAGGTTTTACCTTGGTTAGGAAGTTTGTTGCAAGCTTTTGAGTAATGGTCCACTTCTTTAATGCAATTGTGCAGTTGATTATTAAATTAGCTTCAGTCTCATCACCTTGTTGGTAGTTTACTAGTGGCACACACTGCTTATATGCATCCAAGTACATTCCTCTATCAAACAAAATGATACTATTCAATAATCCAGGATATTTGGAATTTTGTATTCCCATAGTTATGTCATTTATATGTTTATCAATCTGAAAATTACCAAAAGATCTGTCTTCTGTGTACTTCTTACATAGATACTGACAAAGCCATTCTCGTAATGAAACATTACATGAAAAGAAATCCAATTCTATGACTTCTTTCACTGCTGATACAAAATCATTTTTTTGCATTATTACTTTGGCCAGGAAAATTTCAATAGATTCACTTGGATTTTTCTTGTAGATATGATGCAAAATTTTAATTATTTCATCAATATCTTCTTTTTTACACATAATATTGGCTTTTAAGAGTTCACATATTTGTTGTTCTGCAGCAGTAGTCAAATTTTCGTTCTGATGTTCCCTCATAAAATGCAAAAGAATACTTATAGACTCATTATTTTTCAATGCAATACCTAATTGGCCAAGTTTTGTAACAATTTCAAGTGACTTCTCCTCTTCTAGATTTAGCTTTAACATTTCCTTATAAATTGGGAATAGTTTTAACTTGAATGACTGTTCCTCTTTCCTCTCATAGTAATTTGCTAACCCCTGCCAGGCCAAAGGGTGGTCAGCCTTGCTTGCAATAGCTTTTTGATATGCCAAAGGAGCTTGATCGGAATCTTCCAATGATTTTCCTAGTAGAACTAGACCGAAATAATTCTGTTTGTCTTTTCGTAAAATATTTTTGCAGCATTCTTGAGCCTCTGAAAACTTTTTTTCGTCAATAAATTTCCTTGCTTCTTTTAGAAGCGTTTTAATATCAGCCATCTGGAAGAGTAAGATATTTTTTAGTACTTATTAAACCGGAATGTGAGAATGTGCTTCAAAATGATAATTTTGTACCAACCTTTCGATAGCCTATTTACTTTTTGGAGAATGATATTTGTGTCTCTTGGAATCTACATAAGTTTAACCTAGTCTAAGGAATCAAATTACAGTAGTTATGTAGTAAATTACAGCTTTTTCGCCTTCCTCCACCAACACCAAATTCGCGAGATTTTCTTTGAGTTTGACAGTTTGGTGACAGAAGAACAGCAACCAACTGTCATAATCAGGCATTTAGGCCGTTGATATAATCAGGCATAGATAGAGCTTTATCTTGGTCAAAGCTGCACACGTTCGTTAGTGAAGTGAAGAAGAAGTAGGCGAAGTAGCTAAGAGCTTTCCTCGTTATCAGAGGGCAGAGGATAATAAAAAGTTCAGTTCCCACTTTCATTCATGCGTTTTATCGGGAAAACAAATATTTACGTAAAATTATATCATCTCTGGTTTGATATTATCTTTGCTCAACGCAACATGTTTAAAAAAAAAAGATGTCAAAGTTTAAAAATGTAAACAACAATCGGACGGAGGAGATTGGAAATTCCGTTTATTTTAGTTAAAATTACTTTTCCTAGTTTATTTTACTGATAAAGTGGACATGTCGTCAGCACAAGTCCTTTCTAACTATATTAACAAGCTAAGTAAGTCACACATGCTTTGTACAACGAGTTTTCCGTGACCCTAACTTAATCACAATAAAATTTTACTCAAATATTGTTACAACAATAAATAAATTCTTTCAGGGCACCCCATTACAGAAATTCGTGAACGTTCTCTTAAACTGCTACTTACAAAGTTGACTCTAGGCTGGGAATTGGAGGATGAACTGTCTAGCACCAGAGATCTCATCGAAGCTCTGGTGGACTGGTTTCATAGCTCACAACCGTCTTTACAAAGAGAGGCACTAAATTTATTTATCCAAACTATCAAGGTAAGATTATCACAGTCATTAAATGAACTACCAATAATTGGTAGTTCATTATTTATTTAGTACTTTAGAATCATATTGCTCTGAGAAGCTAGATTAATAAAATTTAATATGATAAATAAACAAAGTAATCTAGCTAGCATTAATATTTTAAAAATAAAATTTTGAATCAATCATGGACAATGTTTCAGACTAAAGGAGGCACTTACATAGCTAAAGAAATTGGCATCAGAAATTTGCTAATTCGTTTGGATAAGGTGAAACATAAAATAACAGATCCCAAGGCATTAGAGACGTTTGAAGACTTGATTGAAACTTTGAAATTTTTGAGCACAGTTGAGTCTGCTGACAATGTCGCCATTCCAAGGCTTGATTTGCCTTCTACAAACAGGTATGTTACTGGATTTTTAATTAAAAGTATGAATATTCAACTCTATTTACTCTTTTACAGCAAGAGATTATAATAGTAAAATCTTTTCTATAGTTTCTAACAGAGAGATAAAAATTATAAAAAGTACATATGTAAATACTTAATGCAACTATAACTATAGTAAAAATCATTTACAACTTCACTGTCAATAAATATTTCATGCATGTTTTTTGTGTCAGATTTTTTAATTTTTCCTTGCTTTACAGTTCTGAAAGTGGGCAAAACAGTAACTACTACAACATAGATCCTAACTTTCCAACATCTAAAGAAACCTCTGTTTCTAATGAAGAAATTGAAATAAGGACTGAAAATTATGTGTAAGTGATATTATCTATTGTTATATTTTTCTAAAATTGTTGTTTACTTTTTGATTTCATGATAATTGAGAAATAGTTTCAAAAATAATGTATTTGTTTGTTGCAGATATGAAACAACTGAATGCATAAAAGTTCTGCTCTTCCCATGGGTGGAACTGAGTGCTTCAGATACAAAAACAATGCTTTTGATTGAGGATGCATTGAAACTACTCAAGTCAGTGCGTAGATGTTGTCGGTTTATCCGTGATGTGTTCCTGCAAGATTTTCCTGTTGAGATCTTTTTGAATAGGCCTGCAATAATAAAAGTAAGTTCTTATAAGTATGTTTGTATATTCTAAGTATCTTGCTGATTCTTGCTCAAGTATCGATTTCACTAAAAAGTCTACTCCTACTGGACTTAATACTTAATTTTAAAATGTGATATTCCAGAATCTCCTCTCAATAGCCCAAGGAGATCATGGCAACCGTCCAGGTGAGGCATTGCAAGTACTTCTGTTTGTTACAAGGGCTCTGCGCAGAAGACTTCTGGAGCTTACGTCTAAAGATTTGATCCATGACACTAACAAGGTTTGTTACTTTAAAAATTAGTGTACAAGGATTTTTCTTCTTTTGTTCTCTTAATTTTTTTCACAAAATCATAATTTCCTATTAGTAATTGTAAATACAGAATAATGACATACTTTACTTCATAGCTTCCAGAAGATCATAGAGAAGTGGAAGATCATTTGAATAATGAACTGGAAAGGATGACAAGTAGTGTTGATATAAATGTAGTGCATCAGGACGATGGCTTAACAGCACTACGACAGTTACCAGCTGCAATCTATGTGCTCGATACCCTCCACGGTGTAATGTCGACCATGGCTCGCAATGTAGCCTCAACAGATGTGAGTCATAGATCTGAAATATTGAATTTGGTAAGTATCTAAGTATTCCCAACATTTAAGCACCTTAAGGATCTATACACATCACGTTTTCTTAACGCGCTGACAGCGCGGACACGCGAAGGCAGACTATACCTATAGCCGTTTGTAGGAAAAAAGCGTCGGCGCGTTTAAAAACATGGTGTGCAAAGGCTCTAAATGATTAATGAAATATTTTGGTAAAAAATTAAATAAAGTATTTTATTATTTCCAGAAAGAACTAAATACCTGCTTAGACTTAGCAGAATCATTAATAGATTTACTGCTAGATTGTGTTAGTGAATCTTTTTGGTGTGTGGACCACTCAACGAAGACCCACAGAGACATAGCACACAAGAGCTGTATGGTAATGCGATTGTTAGGAGATCTTATAATGAAATACAAGTAAGTGTATATTTATTAACCCACCAAACCTCAAACGGTCACATAAGACCGCGTAACAATTTATTATCTATTGTATCGCGAATCGAGAGAGCTTGAAGGGTTAAATCATGAGTTTATCTTATTCTGAACCCTCGCCCAAGTTCCCATTGACCTATTTTATTGGCTACCTGATATTTACCCAATGATAAGACATTCAATACATGAGTTTCGATCGATAGTGAGTGGCGGTAAGGCGTAATTTGTTATGGTGCGTCCACACTGGGCGCACGGGCTCGCGCGGCATGTTCGACATCCTGCTCACTCAAGAGCAGGGTGAGCAAGATGACCAGCGTGCCGCGCGAGCCCGTGCGCCCACACAGCCCGTGCGCCCAGTGTGGACGCACCATTACAATTTTTTCGTACGGCTTACTGTCTCTAACAAATCTAACAATGGGAGCGTCGCGAGAGGGGGCGCGCAGAGCGTGGTCCGATGCCGACGCGTAGGCGGGAAGCGCTCCTATTGGCCGTGGCCGTGTCGGTGCAGGCAACATAATAAGAGCGACCCGCGGGCGTTTAGCCAACCTAACGGAATACACCTCGTATGCGCGCTACATCCTCACTGGACTATTCCAGTATTATATGCTATTATTGATAACACTATTGTTATCAATAGCATGTTTTAGAACTGCAACACATGCTTGAATGTTGAATCGGATGATACCTTCACACTTATTCTTTCCAGGCAGTCATTTCTAGACGACCCCGAGCAGTTTCACCGGCGCGCAGTGTGGTTGCGCCTCGTTAACTGCGCTGTATCTCTGCTGTCTTGGGCGCGGCAGTCAGCGCTACCGCCGACGGCACTGGTGACCGCCCTACAGTCAGCACAGCTGGACCCGGCGCTGCCTATACTGTATCCTGAGATGAGCGACAAGATTGCCTTGGCTTTGCAGGTTTGTCTTCATTTAGGCTGGGTTGCACCATCTTACTTTAACTTTGACAAACGTCAAAAATCTCTCAAACTCCATACAAAAAGCATTGGTTAACGTTATAGTTACGGTCAAAGTTACGTGGTGCAAGAGTTGTGGTATGTAGTGCTCAAGTAATTATTTAGCATGCAGCCTAGCAGCCTACTCCTAAACATAAGTTAAAGAAACACCACAAAGCACTATATCACCCTCAGCAATCTTGACGATTCTTGCTCAAGTATCGATTTTACTATAAAAATAATAAGATTTTTCCACTTTCATTTTAAAATGATTTAAATTCTTCTCGTTCAAAGAGTCTTAACTTCAATTTCAGACTGCCAAAACTTCAGTTGACCACGAATACAAAAGCAAATACAGAGAACTAACGAAGCTAACTGCTAGCATGGATGACGCTGTATGCTTTATGAAGAACAAAAACTCTTGTCGTGACTCTAAAACCGTTTTTACGGTGATTAAGAAATCCCTACCTGCATTGGAGCTGCATATGAGTGAAGCATATCTCAGTGATGTAGCTGATATACTGCTAAAAAGGACTAAAGACTGGAATTTAGACGACAGTGATTGGTCCATCGCGCGAAGTATCGCTCTCAGCCTGATGGCTCACAATGTTGAATGGGTGCAAGCTAAGTTCTTCTCCTATATGGTGGACATGGTGCGGTTTGTACTGGTCGGAGACGACGCCAACCAGTCGGAAAATGAGAAATGTCTTACGCTGCTATGTGATGTCGGGATCTTGACTGAAATATGCTGTCATGGGCTCTCGTCAAAGACAAAATCGGTGAGCACGTGATTAGTTCTAGCTCCTTTTAATTCTTTAGTTTAATTGGTAACTCTATTTATTTATTTATTTAAAGACATTATTGCACACACATAACAATGTTCCGTACAAAAAGGCGAGCTTAATGCCATAAGTCATTCTCTACCAGCTGACCTTGAGCAAAACAGAGATATTAAGTGTGTTATAGAATGCTGTTTGTTTTCCTAATAATAAAATAAATAAATTAAGTCTGCGGGCACGAAACTAGCGACGGGCCGAGCGATTGCGAGAGCGGGGCGGCTTGGCGCGAGGTGATCGCAATACTACCTCATCGCCACCGCCCCGCCCATCGTTCGGCCGTCGTTAGTTTCGTGCCCGCAGACTAAGGAACTCGTGGGGCTTTGAATTCTTATTAGTTACTAGCTGACCCGGCGAACTCTGTTCCGCCTTAAAGGCAATAAATAAGCCATCGCAATTTTTCCTTATTTGCTCACCGTTTAGACCTACCCTGGACTACGACAAACATTTTAAAACCAAAATCAGCTCAATCGGCCCAACCGTTCTCGAGTTTTAATCAGACTGACGAACAGCAATTCATTTTTATTTATATAGATTAAAGATTAAGCTTAATTAATATTATGTATAATGTAGCAATGCCCTCACAGGGCTCATGTTCTGGGACTGTTTTATTTTTAATACCTTGTTTGTACCACATGAAGCAATAAAGATATTATGATTATGATTAAATGTAAATTAGGGCAGATATAATACCATCCTAGACTGCATCCCACTTAACATCAGGTGCAATTGTGGTCAAATATCTGCCTTGTTATGCATAAAAAAAAATGTAAAAATGTGAAAACATATTTATTAAAGGTGGAAATAAGTGCGAGCGAGATAATGCTGTACCTTCTCCGCGGGCGGCTGGTGCTGAGCGAGGCGTGCTGGTGGCGGCTGCTGGCCAGCCTGCTGCCGGTGCTGCCGCTGCTGCACGCGCGCGCCGAGCACGACACGCAGCTGGGTGAGTCTTATGGTCATGGCCAAGCAGAAGAGAACTACTCCCACAATATATACTAAGAGGTGACAGAGGGAGACACAAGTTAACGTGGGAAGTGCAGAAAGGTCTTATTAAAGCTCATATAAGAAAATATGCTGCCAAATTATCAGAATATAATCGTACCCCAGTCGCTTGTGGTAGCATGGTGTAAGAAAGATCTACTATATCAATCCACCGTTTATTGCTTCCGTATAACTCAGACTCTGCTTACCTTTTCCAGCCACACACTTTTTCTGGTCCTTCGAGCCGGATAGTTGTTAAGTGCTTCACTCGAAAATTAAAAATTCTAAATTCCAGGAAAAGCGATATGCAAATCTCTGGAGATGGACATCGCTGAGTGCATGGGCGTCTCTGCTGTGGAGGCAGCGGCGGGGTTGGCGCGACTACTGTTCATACGCTGCGTGGCCGTACAGCTCGACGCGGCGCACGCGCTTTGCCTGCTACTGGGTGAGTCGAGTCAGAGCTGCAGGTTTTTAGGTAGAGCGTGTGCAAGTCTCTGAAGAGTGACGTCATTTAGTGCACGCGGAGGCAGCGGCGCGGCTGGCGCGGCTACTGTTCGTGCGCTGCGTGGTCGTGCAGCTCGACGCTTCGCACGCGCTTTGACTGCTACTGGTTGAGTCAGCTGAAGGTTGCTAGGCAGAGCATATGCAGGTAACTGGAGATGGATATCGCTGAGTGCATGGGCGTTTCTGCTGTGGAGGCAGCGGCGGGATTGGCGCGGCTGCTGTTCGTACGCTGCGTGGCCGTACAGCTCGACGCGGCGCACGCGCTTTGCCTGTTATTGGGTGAGTCAGTACTAGAGTATACTAGACAGAGCGTATGCGAGTCTGGAGAGTGACGTCATGGAGTGCTTGGGTGTTTCTGCCGTGGAGGCAGCGGCAGGGCTGGCGCGGCTGCTATTCATACGCTGCGTAGCCGTGCAGCTCGACGCGGCGCACGCGCTCTGCCAGCTACTGGGTGAGTCAGAGCTGGAGGCTGCTAGACAGAGCTCGGAGATGACATCGAACACCTTACCGTGTACCTCGTCAGCGCAACCACGACCTCTCTGACAAGAGTTCCCGACTAAGAAGAAGAAAGAGACAGAGCGTATGCAGGTCTCTGGAGATGGACATCGCAGAGTGCATGGGCGTTTCTGTTGTGAGGCGGCCGCGGGGCTGGCGCGGCATCGAGATGCGGCGCACGCGCTTTGCCTTCTACTGGGTGAGTCCATGCTGGAGGCTGCTAGGCAGAGCGTATGCGAGTCTGGAGAGTGACGTCATTTAGTGCATGGGCGTTTCTGCCGTGGAGACGGCGGCGGGATTGGCGCGGCTACTGTTCGTGCGCTGCGTGGTCGTGCAGCTCGACGCTTCGCACGCGCTTTGCCTGTTACTGGGTGAGTCAGCTGAAGGTTGCTAGGCAGAGCATATGCAGGTAACTGGAGATGGATATCGTTGAGTGCATGGGCGTTTCTGCTGTGGAGGCAGCGGCAGGGCTGGCGCGGCTGCTATTCATACGCTGCGTGGCCGTGCAGCTCGACGCGGCGCACGCGCTTTGCCTGTTATTGGGTGAGTCGAGTTAGAGCTGGAGGTTTTTAGGCAGAGCGTGTGCAAGTCTCTGATGAGTGACGTCATGGAGTGCGTGGACGTTTCTGCTGTGGAGGCGGCGGCGGGGCTGGTGCGACTTTTGTTTACACGCTGCGTGGCCGTGCAGCTCGACGCGGCGCACGCGCTTTGCCTGCTACTGGGTGAGTCAGTACTAGAGTCTGCTAGACGGAGCGTATGCGAGTCTGGAGAGTGACGTCACGGAGTGCATGGCTGCGTGACTTCAGATATTTTTCTGATATCTATGCTGTAACAGTTGGGTTGTTAACACGTTACGTACGTCACCCTTCCCACATTGCTCCACTACCTACTACTACTATAATGGAATGCGTCTGACCGAGGCCCACATCCATTGCGGGGCCTTAGACACGTTACTAGAGCGCTCAGTGGAAAAAAAAGAGCCTGTCCTGATTAAAAACACATTTAAAATCCGTGATGGTGGTGGCTGGCAATAAAGAAACTTAACTTTGAAGATATTTCCAGATGACGAGAGATATTTGCCTCCGAAAGAAGCTTTGCGGGCTGATGTTCTGATGAACGCTTTGAGACGCGTCCAACCGCAGGATTTCAACGTCGACCAGAATAGTTCGCCATCTAAAAATCCACAGGTAATTTGATGAATTTACTTTATTTATTTCCCACTAGGTAGACCGACAATCGGCGTAGGTCTCGGGAAGAACCTGGACGCGGGAAGCGAAGGACCGGCTGTTATGGAAATCCTTGGGGGAGGCTTTTGTCCAGCAGTGGACGTCATTCTGCTAAAACGAACAAACGAACTTTATTTATTTAACTTCCATTCCATGTGACAGCTTTCAAAGAACTACTAAGCTTTATTTTTTATATTTTTTTCAGACTACAGGCCTAATGCAGATTCTAGACGTTCTAAAGCAAGATATAGTATTAGACCAGCACGGCACAGAGTACGTGAGCGGAGGCCTAGTCCGGCCGACGCTGGAGCCCTCGCTGCGCCGGAGCACCCTGCAGCAGCTGTCCGTGATGATGAGACAGCAGGAGTTACATGAGGCCTTCCTGCAGGCCGACGGCCTGAGGCTCGTGGTGGCCATCCTGAGGTAATGTGGACAGTGTGACACCAGCAAGGCTTAGAGTACGGGAGCGGAGGCCTAGTCCGGCCGACGCTGGAGCCCTCGCTGCGCCGGAGCACCCTGCAGCAGCTGTCCGTGATGATGAGACAGCAGGAGTTACATGAGGCCTTCCTGCAGGCCGACGGCCTGAGGCTCGTGGTGGCCATCCTGAGGTAATGTGGACAGTGTGACACCAGCAAGGCTTAGAGTACGGGAGCGGAGGCCTAGTCCGGCCGACGCTGGAGCCCTCGCTGCGCCGGAGCACCCTGCAGCAGCTGTCCGTGATGATGAGACAGCAGGAGTTACATGAGGCCTTCCTGCAGGCCGACGGCCTGAGGCTCGTGGTGGCCATCCTGAGGTAATGTGGACAGTGTGACACCAGCAAGGCTTAGAGTACGGGAGCGGAGGCCTAGTCCGGCCGACGCTGGAGCCCTCGCTGCGCCGGAGCACCCTGCAGCAGCTGTCCGTGATGATGAGACAGCAGGAGTTACATGAGGCCTTCCTGCAGGCCGACGGCCTGAGGCTCGTGGTGGCCATCCTGAGGTAATGTGGACAGTGTGACACCAGCAAGGCTTAGAGTACGGGGCGGAGGCCTAGTCCGGCCGACGCTGGAGCCCTCGCTGCGCCGGAGCACCCTGCAGCAGCTGTCCGTGATGATGAGACAGCAGGAGTTACATGAGGCCTTCCTGCAGGCCGACGGCCTGAGGCTCGTGGTGGCCATCCTGAGGTAATGTGGACAGTGTTAGACCAGCACGGCACATAGTCCGTGATCGGAGACTTAGTTGACGTGTTCACACTTGCTTGTCTGCTGCCAAAAACGTTATCATAGCTGTGAATTATACAAGCAAAAAGTATTCTTACAGCCTCATGCATGACATGGCCCAACCTCTTCCCTTATATGCCAGTGTTATACATATTATGGTCCTCCTTATATTTTTAATCTTATTGTCTTAAGGTGCAAAATCAATCGAAATCTGAACTAGCACTGCCTGGTTCATTTGCTACTGGGACTTCTGGAAAAAACCGATCACTGCTGATGGTGGATGTATACACGCTTGTTTATTTCTTTTCAGGATGTCACTCATGGTCGACGATTATTTGGCATTCCCGGAGTGTGCCATAAGCTGCGTGTCCATTTTGAACAGCGTTTGCTTTGCCAGCCGGCACAGCTTGGCTAAGATTACTGATTTACCAACTCTACTGATCCGAGGTGAGAAAGTTTTAACTTTTTTAACTGCGTACCTGGCATCAGTGACGTCACATTGACGCTCTGGTAAGGACGGGGCGAACGCGGAGAGGTTTGCGGGTGGGTGCGAAGGAGAGTCGCTTTAAATTAGGTCGATCGGGTTTTTTTTTCTTTTTTCAATGTGACATAATATGAAAAATTATTTTACATTACTGTTATATTTCACCAGTGATCCTAGTGTTCCCCGCCAACGACTCGGCCGTGTTGATGTCAGCTCAAGTACTAGCGCTGACAGTGTGGTCGGGCTTCGCCCTGCAAGAACTGGACGAGAACAGGCGCCGCGTGCCCGCGCTGCCCGAGTGCGTCACGCAGCGGTGCGCGCTGCCCTTTACAGCCACAAGTTATTGGGCGACCAGTCCTAATGCTGGGCATTCGGCTGTGGGTGAGTGGACTGAATGGTTAAAAGTTTCAAGAGTACATTGTTTTCTTCTAAAAGCGAGATAAATCTAGATTTACGTATTTTAGATTTGATGAAACCATTTATTCACAAAAGAATGTCAAAAATGTACGTTAGAAATACTTACCTAATAAGATTATTAGCAAGGTTTTCTGCAAACGCGCGTATTGTGTGAAAATTATCGACTTAGTACAACCACGAAAATCGCGTTAGAGCGCCCCCCTGTAGGCCTAAGATGCGCGCCGTGATAACTTTTATCGACGTCAAAATGTATGGGCAAAATCGATAAAATGGCTTGATACCCGCTTATCGCGGCGCGCATCTTAGGCATATTGGACATAAGATATTTAGGGCAGATTTTTCAATCGTCAGATATCTTTTTTTTTTTATTTTCCCATACTGAAATTGTCAATGTGCCAAACTTATTCTTCAGCTAAATGTTATCCGACGGTTGTAAAATCAGTCCTTACAGAGTTATTACAAATTTAAAAAAATGTCATTTCTATACAAATATCAATTTATGCATGTGTTCAACGCCTGTAACTTTTTGTAATAAGCTCCTTTATTTTTAAAATATCTTATTAAGCCACTTCTATTCAGAATGGCTGACATCAGACGAAGCGTGGCGCTCCACGATACGCGTCCGCTGGTGGTGCGCCTACGAGGGATGCGCCCGCGTCCTGTGCGGCGCGCCCCCGCCCCCCGCGCCCCTCGCGTTGCGCCCTGCGGATCAAGACCGAGCTCTACTAAGGGCCTCGAGCCCTGGACACGCTGCCGTTACTGCGTTGTTGGCGTTGGAGAATGCAACGTCACACGCGCAAGTGGCTGACGCGCTATGCTTGCTGGAGAAGTTAGTAGACATGTATTTCCATCTCTTTCCATTCATCTGCTCTGATGATGCGTCCGCGCAGCTTGCGTTTAACCCCGCCCCCTGCGCCGCTCGCGCTGCGACCTGCGGACCAAGACCGAGCTCTACTGAGGGCCGCGAGCCCTGGTCATGCCGCCGCAACTGCGCTGTTGGCGTTAGAGAATGCAACGTCACATGCACAGGTGGCTGACGCGCTGTGTTTGCTGGAGAAGTTAGTAAACTTATGTAACCTTCTCTTTCCATTTATCTGTAAGGCTGGTTTTAGTGTCACGCGGACCGTCCGGTGCGGACCCGCTCCGCACGGCCAATCTGTATGAACTTCTAGGGAGCGTTTTAGAGTAATGCGGTCCGGAGGAACCGCTCCGCTCACTAGCAGTTCATACAAATCGGAGCGATCCGCACTGACAGTCCGCGTGACACTAAAACCAGTCTTAGTCGTGTGATAGTGACTACTTGAGGTAACCGGAGCCGCGTGCCCTGATGATGCGCCCGCGCAGCTTGCATTTAGGATAAGGATTGATTAAAGAAAACCGGCATTAAAACACAAAAAATTGATTTATGAATTCTTAGTAGAATATTATTTCCGGTGTATATTGAAATATTGGGAAGTGAAGAAGAAATAAAGTGTGTCCAGTGGGAATTTTTCAACTTCAAAAATGATTCATACAAATAAATTAACGATTTTTTGTTATTTATTACTATTGCAAACTGGAGTTTAACAATGCGGATTTATTTTTTTGTAGGCAATGTCTTTTAAATGATACCCGTTTTATTATAGGCACTCTCACAGCCGGACCCTTACACTCGCAACTATGCGAGAGCAAATCGCGCTAATAATTTTCCTGCAATTTCACGGCGGATATTTTCTTACAGAACCTGAATTATTTAAGGATTGTTTGCTGTAAACTTTTGACTTGAGATATCCCCACAAGAAAATGTCGCATAGTGTGAGATCTGGTGACCGAGGCGGCTAGGGTATGTCCCTGTACGTGCTGATCATTTATTTGAAAAAAAAAATAAATAGTCCTCGGTGTCTCCATCGAGGTACTCTTCGTGTGTGGTGAGACACCTTCTTGCTGAAATAGTAGTTGACCGGGATGCAGTTGCAGTTGTGGTATCAGACATTCATCGATCATTCGACAATACATTTCAAATACTTATTGCTCAACTGCGAACGCTCTGTAGGCTCCCCGACCAGTGACTCATGGCGTGTTTCAAATCCGCATTACTCTATTTTGAAACAATTAAACTTAATGAAAACTCTTTGGTTTTATTTGTATTCAATTTTGAACTTGGAAAATTCTCGCTGAAAGTAAAGGGTGTCTTTACAACGTAACCTCACTTCAAAACTTCAAAAGAGTGTGACAATACCGCGTCCGTTCAAGTCTGATTGGAACCATAATATGTGCACCAGATTCACTTCCGAAGATATCGGAACGATAAACGTCACCATCTTATTCACATATTTCTGATATTCGGTTTGGCCGAAGATTCGGCTGGTTTTTGGCCGAAAACGAAAATATGGCCGAATGTCCATTTTTTGGCCGAAAATGGCCGAAAACGAAAACGAATATTCGGTCGGTCACTAGAAATTAGTAGACCTATTTACCTTCTCTTTCCATTCATCTGCTAGTCGTGTGATAGTGACTGGAGCTAACCGGATGATGCGCCCGCACAGCTTGCGTTTAGCGTTCTTTCGCGCTGCGCCCCGATGTGGACTGCGAGCCCTGGACACGCCGCCGCTGCCGCTTTGCTGGCGTTGGAGAATGCAACGTCGCACGCACAAGTGTCTGACGCGTTCTGCTTGCTGGAAAAGTTAGTATCTCTCTTGCTATCCGTGAAAAAATGCCAATGCATAACACGAGAGAGTATTATCTTTTTTTTTCTTGAAGGATCACCATTTTGTATTCGGTTTGGAACATCAAATGATGCTAACCTCAGCTGCCGCATCGCATCATTAAGATGGGAGTAAGACATCGTTTTGCGGTTAGTCCTGCGATTGTAGAACTCATCAGTAGCCGGAGTCAAGCTGAACCGTTGTACAAAATAGTATTGATTCCATAAATGTATTAATATTTATTTTGTCTTACCAGTTATGCGCACCTCATGCCTCGCTCCTCGGTGACGGGGGAGCAGTTTGCCGCGTTGCCATGGCAACACATGCGCCGGTTCCTACGCGCTCCGCCCGCTTCTATCCGAGATGCAGCGTTGTTGACTGCAGTCATGCATTTCATACTCGCTTATATGGACAATGTGCCTAGCAAAGGTAATTATTTAGTATCAGACTTAATACTTAGTATTATTAGAAATGTCATTTTCTGCACTATTTAAAGAAAATCCACACTAAATTATTATTTTGTTACTTAAGTCCGGTCGCCGAGCAGATAGAATTTCGTACAATGACCCCAATCTACCCATCATTATCGCACGCGCGTAATTATATTTCTGTCGCGCTCGCACAATCACCGCGCGACGGGCGGCAGAAGTGACATTAAGTTTCCTATTTATTTTATTGTCTTAGGAGGAACAATGTCCTGGATAAAGTCATCTTTCATCGGCAACGACACGTCCGTGATATCGCTGCTTAGCCGTGATCAGTTGCTTCCCCAGCAGACGCCGCAAGATGGCGTGGAAGTGACGCAACTCCACATACACATAGTGAAAGTTCTGCTGCGATGCGTCAAACTGCTGGAGTATGATGACTATGACAGCAATAAACTGGAGAGTCTTTTAAAGATACTGCTCGCGTGTCTATCGAGAATAGATTTGAAAAATTTTCACGCCTTAGGTGAGTTTTCTTTTGTTTTTGCTCGAATCTTTTTATACGTATTTTATGCCTGTTCGTTCATTCAGTTCAATTATAAACTTGATGCCTATTGCTTCGCAGCATAATAATGCTGGAGGTCGCTTATTCAATCCTCGCACATTGCAAATATTTGTGTGCAGTGTGCATGAACATAATATCTGTTTGTATTGGTGTTTCTATGTATAATGTGTGTTTTGTGTTTCTCTGAATAATTATGCATTGACAAAGAAACATTTTAAGTATGTTTGTACGGATTGTATGGATATACTCGCTTTGTTTATTGTTTAGTTGATTACATGACACATACCTATCAGTACACATACAAATGTCTGAGGATGCTTTATTTATTTGCCATCCATTGTTTCTCAAACCACAAGTGTACAAGCACAAGCACAACACTAAATGCCACTATGTTTTTTAATTGATCTGTGTTTTTTTTAAATTAGACGATTGGATACGATAAGAATACTGAGCGTTTTCTAAAATCTAGATTTAGATAACTTCAGGTTCATCCTCGTCACATTTTGATTCAGAAAATGTCTTGCAGGATACCTTAACGAACTGATGCGTTGTATAAGATACGTATTGCATTCTCGGTACTGCAAGCTATCTGAAGACACTCTAGTGCAATGCTTCAAGATCATAGCTGAAACGCTCAGTGGTTGCGCATCGGGGGGAGGGAGGAAGGGACACGCGTGTCGACTGGATGCCATACTCTCTCTACTTTCTCTATTGAAGCAGGCACATCAAGAAGGAATACCGGTTCAAGTGAGTAACAACCCTATAACTAATGTGACTGCAATTAACGTACTTTGTAAGGAAAGCCTTTATTTTATCACTCCTATTTGCGCAAAGAAGTTTACCTACAGATAAATTAGCAAGTAAATGTTAATAGTAAGCAAGAAATAGTTTTGATGACGAAATAATGTTCCCTGATTTTATTACACTGGCGATACAGGACAAATAAACAAACAGCTTTGAACGGCCGATCCAATTTTCTCTATTTATCAATTAATCATTATCAAGAATGTTGTCAGAGATAAAATATTATCATGATATCTACAGATCTTTTGATCATTCCTTGATGACGTGTCATCACCCGATTTCTGTAAAAATACGTCAAGAGCCTATCAAGAAACACTCGATATCTATTTACTATTTATCCATGTTCCCGGTAATCGTCTCGCATTTATATATGTCAACGTGAAATTGTGAACTCTGTCAGTTTATAATATAACGCGTTAGATTGTAAACTAACAGTGGGTTAGGTTAGGTTAGATTGTAATTGAGAATGTTACTAGGTATGCAAAACCACTTGAAACCTATGTTACAGTTAGGCTTTTACATTTACAAATACATTAGTTTTTATTTCATTCAAAAATACCCAGTAGTTATGATTTTATAGGCATTCAAAGTTCGCTTAAATATTGAGTCCCGCCGACGGTCACGTGACCCCGCGTGACGTACATTCACAGTGTCCGCTCACTAGAAAACGGATATAAACATACTTAAATACATTTTTTTTGTAAATACAAACTTATTATACATATTAACACCCAGACCCATCTTAGAAATTAAAATTGAACCAAACCCAAACTTGATGCGATTGTGTCGTTTTATTGCTTCTTACACATCGAACAACGTATGAGTCACTTACAAACATGTTTTTTTGGTTGGATGTAATATAAACATCGAATAACACTCTCTTCGCAATCACCTGAACAATTTTATCACAACTCTTAAGGATCTAAGTGAAGAACATGGCGAGCAAATCCACCAGGGCCTTCGTCCGATAGAGGGACGCTATCAGGGCCACTGGAATGCACACATGATGGCTGACTGCTGTTAAATCATTCAGAAGAGCTGTCTGCCTTCAGCATCAGCAAGGAAGTCAAATAAAAGAAAGTTTTTTCAACTTAACAACTTCATAAAATAGGATCATCTCTAAAAAAAGAGTGTTTTTTTACAAAAAGACCCAAGTGTCATATTTTTTTAACCAGAGCTGATACAGATATTTCAATCACAGATTTGAAATCGTCATTAAAAATTGGACTAATATCATGTAACATAACCCAATCATCAGAAATGCTGTTGTGCAGTGAATCTGACGAAATTCACAATTTTACGGTGACATATACATGGTATTACGAATGAAGTTTCTTAGAATATCATAATGTAATCTTAAGTGCATTTGTATTGTCGTGAGTATAAGAACTTACATGGGAATTCCGGTGACACAATTCATGAAGCGCCTGTTTATTTATAAAATTGATTTAGTTCCTATTTAATACCTAACTAATAGTACCTAGTGTTATTGTTTGAACTTGAAAAATACAACATGAATAATTTTTTTTTACATTATAACATGTAATATGATTATTCTTATAGGTAATTATAAAAAAAAAACCGACTCCAAAAAACCTATACTAAAAAGTAGAAAAATAATTACTAATTACCTATCGTATTCGTCCTAATAAATAAGTAGGTAATTAGTAATTATTTTTCTACTTTTTAGTGTAGGTTTTTTGGAGTCAGTTTTTTTTTTTTATAAAATTTTTTTTTTTTTATTTCTTGCTTTTTAGTTAACTAATTATTACCTTGATGTTACCACTGAAGGCTGAAGGTAGGCAGTACATTGAGACCATATTCTTAATGTATATTATAAAAAAGTTCATCCCCAATTTTCCACCCTTGGGGGTGAAATATTTTCTTCAAATTCGCATGAAACCACCCTTTTGATAATACCTATTCAACAAAAAAATAATCGTTCAAATTGGTTCATAATCGGCGGAGATATTGCGTATAAAAAAGTTCATCCCTAATTTTCCACCCTTGGGGGTTGTTTTTTTTACTATTAAATTGAAATGGGACCACCCTTGAGGTATTACCTATACGCTGAAAAAAGATTTGTTCAAGTCGGTTCATAATTGGCGGAGTTATCGCGTAACAAACATAGAAAAAAAAAAAAACATACGGGTCGAATTGAGAACCTCCTCCTTTTTTTGAAGTCGGTTGAAAAGGTAAATCTTCATAATATTATCACTCCAGCCAGTGTGGTAAATAAAGACAATATAGCCTGACCAGGAACATAAAAACCCTCGCCATGTTGCGGAAAACTAATGGTACTAATTTCTTTTAATGGCAACAGTAACTGAAAACTTCATTGACATGTCACCTTGCATGTCAGTCTATTGCTGTCAAAGTGTAAACAAACTTTATTTTAAATGTGTGCAATTGATTTTGTGAATTAAAATGCTAAAATATTTTTATAGTCGTGAAAGAAAAGTGGTTCACAATGTGTTAACTTAATGTATTTGTCGAAGAGAAATACTAAGGGTTTGGACAATATTTTCATTGAATAATGTTTCCGACAAAGGTTGTCAAATTGACTGACATGTTTATCGTATAGTACAGTCCACTATGAAAATTAGCTGTAGTTTGTTTCAACTACCTATTTTAAAGTTTTTTGTCACTTTCTAAGTTTTGAATTTTATGGAATTGGGAAAGAAGTACCGAGTTTGAAGCGTTCATGAGCAGACATTGCAGTTGAATATTCAAGTTCTGAATTTGATTTTTGATGAATAATAAAATAAATCCTACTAGCTCGTTTGATGGTTTCATTTAATTTATTTATAGCCTGACCAGGAACATAAAAACCCTGGCATAGAGGCGCGTCAATTGCATTTGATAGTGCAACACTGAGTACAGTCGTACCTGTGTTAAATTAATAGGCTAACTTTATGTATCAGGATTCAGGATTACGGGCTAATTTGATATTTTCATAAATTAACGAAAAAATATTATTATAGGTAACCTGGTTTAAATAAATTAAATGAAACCATCAATCGAGCTAGTAGGATTTATTTTATTATTCATCAATAATCAAATTCAGAACTTGAATATTCAACTGCAATGTCTGCTCATGAACGCTTCAAACTCGGTACTTCTTTCCCAATTCCATAAAATTCAACACTTAGAAAGTGACAAAACTCTTCAAAATAGGTAGTTGAAACAAACCACAGCTAATTTTCATAGTGGACTGTACTATACGATAAACATGTCAGTCAATTTGACACCCTTGTCGGAATAATTATTCAATGAAAATATTGTCCGAACCCTTAGTATTTCTCTTCGACAAATATTTAAACACATTGTGAACCACTTTTCTTTCACGACTATAAAAAGATTTTAGCAATTTAATTCACAAAATCAATTGCGCACATTTAAAATAAAGTTTGTTTACACTTTGACAGCAATAGACTGACATGCAAGGTGACATTTCAATGAAGTTTTCAGTTACTGTTGCCATTAAAAGAAATTAGTACCATTAGTTTTCCGCAACATGGCGAGGGTTTTTATGTTCCTGGTCAGGCTATAAACCAGGTTACCTTTAATAATATTTTTTCGTTAATTTATGAAAATATCAAATTAGCCCGTAATCCTGAATCCTGATACATAAATTTATCCTATTAATTTAACACAGGTACGACTGTACTCAGTGTTGCACTATCAAATGCAATTGAGGCGCCTCTATGCCAGGGTTTTTATGTTCCTGGTCGGGCTATAAATTATAATAAATAGTTACTTTCAAATTCCAACCTGTCACTAGAATTCAGTGTGTATAGTGTGTTCGTCAAATCATGTACACATCTGTAGTTGAGTTTGTTTTTGGATTTTCCCCTGCCAAAATTTTTGATTCGCACTAGTTAGCGTTAAATTAAATAACCCTAATGTTGGCTCATGATGTCACTAGAGTGTTGACTTCGGTTTTTACAGCCCATAATGCCCATATCATACAAATATTTTGAAATAAACTTATTTTTATTTCTGTTGGTAGTCTGTCAAAAGTCAGATTACCAAATGTAAATGAAAGTCTAAGAAGAGGCTAAGGTAGAATACGCGAGTGCGGGACCTCTCCAACTCGTCTGAGTAGCGTGGGGAGTGTAGACCAAATCCACCCTTTGCCTCTGGTAAATTAAAGAAGGTCGTCCTCCTGCAATAACGGGACTATTCCCACCTCTCGCTCCCACCGCTGCAACTTCTATGTAGCCAGGATCCATAGCTTGACCGCCAATAAAACTCAACCAGTGAAGGTCAAGTTTGTCTCGGGTGAAAGTTAAACTGTCATTGGACTTGCAAGAAAATAAATCAGAAGAACATCGGAGTTCGAAGTTAAGGTTCGACTTCCCTCCATTGCAAAGCGGATGACAGGTGACAAACAAAGGTTTATTAACCTCCTCTAATAAGGTCCTTCTGTAGGCCTTTTTTTTTTTTTTTTTTCGGTGGTAAAAATGCATTGAGTTGCATACCCGCCACTGTGGTCAGGCGGCGGGTTATGTGGGGCTCTCCCCTCCAGAAGGGAGGGGCCTACCCACTAAAAATCCACCATCTCCGTCTCGCTGAGCACAGATGGGAGCCGGTGTAGCGAGGCCTTACCCGACATGTTCCACCTATGCGCAGACCGTCTGCTATGCGTGCAGACTCCAACTTCGACCACGCCATCTTTGATTTTTATAGTTACAGTTTGTTGTAATGCAACTGACCACTCGGAGATTTACAACTATATACAAATGATATATACAAATGATATATACAAATGTACAAAGTGCTTATCTATATTTACATAATATACAATGGAGGCCAGCGGGTAGGTGTAAAAGGTCTATCCGCCGGCACTCATAATGGACCTTACGCTATGACTAGTATTTGACTAGGTGTCACAGACGACGCGCAAAAGCACGTCGCCTCCGGCCCAACCTTCTCCGCCGAGCAGGGTCAGCGAGGGGATCTACCTCCCTGGCTGCGCGCCGCGATAAGCGGTTATCACGCCATTTTATCGATTTTGCCCATAAATTTTGACGTCGATAAAAGTTATCACGACGCGCATCTTAGGCCTACTGCAGTAGGGACAATGAGACATGGAGACTAAATGACCTTGATCGTTGATGAAATAATATTTTCTTGATCAGCGATGGTGCGAAGCGTGGAGCAGCGAAGCGGTGCAAGCTGTAGTAGGTTGCAGCGCGGCGCAGAGCGCTCAGTTGCGAGCAGCTGCGCTTGCAGCCATGGCTGCGCTCGCGCACCATCCGCAGCTGATGCCGCACCTGATGCAGGGTGAGTGAGCTTGGTCTGGGGGCGTAGTGTGAGTTTACATCAAACGTATTCGATATCGAGTGCGTCAAAAAAAACCTATGAAGATTTTAGTTCTTGAAAATATCCGCTAGAGACGCTGTATGATGTAATTTTTTACGCACTCGATATCGAATACGTTTGATGTAAATTCGCACTACGCCCCCATGTTATTATAGTTAGGAACACTTTTAGAGGGACTACACACATATTTCGATTCGAGATATAGATAGTTGACATCATTAACGAAAGGTTTAAAGAGATATCTTTTCTAAAGAAATAGTTAATCCCGGAAAATTAAATTAGTAATTAATTAACAGTAAAATCATATTTTTAGTAGCTTTTACCTCGATAAATATAGCCAAAGTGCTAGGAAAACTAAATGCGATCCGAATTCCAGACATATTGGTCCACGTTTGGAGTTAGAGTAGGATCGGATGTATCCGATAGTAGAAGCTGTGTACAGCTTCATCGCAATTTTCAAATATTAAATTTTGTATTAGCAAAATGTTTTCATCTCTATTCTTTCACATTTAGCAATACAAGAAGAATCGCTCTGTGCTTTCGCGGCCCGTATCCTGAGCAATCGGCGCGAAGCTAACGTGTGCCGTGCGGGCGCGGCTTCCCTGCTCGCTACGATCGCGGCGCGCGCGTCCCCGCATTGTGACGTAAGTGTTGCCATAGTTACGTAACGCTAATGTACACGTGTTTACAGGACGTTATGACGCATGTTTCTGGGAATAAAAGTTCCTTAGCCCGATGCAGAATAACATTTTCATGCAGTTGACTCTTAGGGGAACTTAAGCTGTTTTTGGAAAGCATGTTAATCTCAAAAAGATTTGACTTGATTGACTAGTTTTAATATTTTATACTCTTTCTAAGTTTGGCTAAACGGAAGTAAGTGATAGAAATATCCTGCCCCATTCGCCGAAATTGGTCTGGTGACGTTGTTAAAAAGTTTAATTATACGATACGTATTAATCCGTTGTTATGTTACGTGTGTTGTATTCTTGAGTATAGCATAATCCCTACAAATAATATGCACTGCCCGCGGACACTGGCCGCGCGGTTTTATCGTGACGTGTGGTACCATTACATATTTTATGCGTTCCTTGTTCGGGCGCTATTTTGGAGGTGCACCCGTTATTGTTATACGTGCATGCGATATCCACACACACTAACAATATTATTAGACTCGTATTTGCAAAAGTTACTTGTGATGTTTTTCTGTGACAAATTATCGCAACTTTTCGAAAGCGAAAAACTTTTCGAAAGCGAAAAACTTTTCGAAAGCGGAAAATGTTTATTGAGGATAAAATGCAATTTTATATGTATCAAGTTTTCACGGGACAATAATAATAGCAGCAATTAACTATTTTGCCCCGATACCTTGTAATAATTTTAGGGGTTTGGAATTGTTTTTTTCGATAACGACATTTTTAAAACCGCCTTTCCATGTGTGTCAAAACAATTGACCATTCGGTTCCACCACTCCACCCTGCTGTAAGTTTCTTTGTAGCCATATGGCTATAGAGTAGTCATTCTATGGAATGCGGATTATACATTTTGACTGATAAACATTTTCTAATTCTACAATGATAGTAAAATATTTACGTAAGAATTAACTAGAATTAAAAAGATAATTCATAGTAAGTACACTTACAATAGATATGACCATACTATACATACTCGTACCTAAACAACGCAGAGTTGGAATTTTGTAATTTATATCGTTATCAATTGAAATGAAATATCATCCCTGACCGGACTTTCATTCAGTTTGTAACAAATGATTCATTCATTTATCGGAGTCCTGTGTGGCGTGTACTGATTTGTTCTGCAAGTACCTATTCAAAGTTTTATTATTAGAAAAAGACAGATGACTGTACTATTATTTTACGATTTATCGCGCCCATACAATAATATAGTATAAGATCCCGCTATACAACGACCTTCACCGAGATGCTTATTTGATGAAACATATTTTATATTCAATTTAACATGTCAATAATTATATTGCTTAAGGGTTGCCTAATAAATTTCAGTCCAGGATATGATTAATTAATCATTAAAAAAAGTTTTATTTTTAAATATTTCATCGGTTTGATTATTAAACAAACTCCATACCAATCGAAAGTATGAAGCCCATAGAATATGCAAACGTTAGGTTGCCTATTCTTTTCCAGTCATAACTCTCGGGTTGCCAGGTATAAACAGGTAAATTGATAGAGCATTTTGCATCGGTCTGATAATTTAATCAAATATAAATGAAAATAAAGATTATTTCATTATGAACACGGTGGTATAGGGTTGCCTGCGAAAAATCAGTCCTGAATGACGGTTGTCGAATTTTGTAAAGTGAAATTAAAACTGAAAGGTGACATTTTTCGAGTAGTTGGCAACATTTGGGAAAGACGAGTTGTATGAGGCGTTTGTGTGTCTTGTCAAGAGGTGTCGCTTGGGTGAAGAAATTTCTCCAGTGTTGCCATGCTTTCGGAGATTTGGTCCAAAAATGTCGAAAGTGGAAATAACGACTTCCGGTCAAAAATTTGGATGACGCCTCCTGCAAAAGGGTCGTACAAATGACATTTGACCATTTTCATCTCGATCACCTGGCAACACTTGCAGCTATGGGGAAAAGTATTTTTTTTCGACATGGGTGTCTTTAAAGTTAAGGACGGACAGAAGGAGATATGGCAGAAAAAATCCAAAAATGGGGTTTGGTCGGTTATACGACCCAAATTATGGGAAAAATCCGAAAATTCAGAAAATCAAGATGGCGACCGAGTGAGCGGCCATTTTGTAAAAAGTTTCAGATTTCTGATTTTTCAAATGCATTTTTTGGGCAGTTGGCAACATTTGGGAAACTCGAGTTGTATAGAGCGATTACGTAGTTTGCTAAGGAGTATCGTTTGGAAAAACAACATTTTCCAGTGTTGCCATACTTTGAAAGATTTGGTCAAAACATGTAAAAAATGGAAATAACGACTTTTGGTCCAAAATTTGGATGACGCCTCCTGCAAATAGGTCAAACTAATGACATTTGACTATTTTTATCTCGATTACCTGGCAACACTGGCAGTTACGGGGCCACAAAATTTTGGGACTTGGGTGGTTTTAAGGAATTGTTTCACGGGATTGGTTTAAGTTAGAAAAAAAGTAAAAATGGGTTTCGGCGCGGAAAATGGTCTAGATTAAGCGAAAAATGCAAAAAGTATGGCAACACTGGAAAATGTTGTTTTTCCAAACGATACTCCTTAGCAAACTACGTAATCGCTCTATACAACTCGAGTTTCCCAAATGTTGCCAACTGCCCAAAAAATGCATTTGAAAAATCAGAAATCTGAAACTTTTTACAAAATGACCGCTCACTCGGTCGCCATCTTGATTTTCTGAATTTTCGGATTTTTCCCATAATCTGGGTCGTATAACCGACCAAACCCCATTTTTGGATTTTTTCTGCCATATCTCCTTCTGTCCGTCCTTAACTTTAAAGACACCCATGTCGAAAAAAAAATACTTTTCCCCGTAGCTGCCAGTGTTGCCAGGTGATCGAGATGAAAATGATCAAATGTCATTTGTACGACTCTTTTGCAGGAGGCGTCATCCAAATTTTTGACCGGAAGTCGTTATTTCCACTTTCGACATTTTTGGACCAAATCTCCGAAAGCATGGCAACACTGGAGAAATTTCTTCACCCAAGCGACACCTCTTGACAAGACACACAAACGCCTCATACAACTCGTCTTTCCCAAATGTTGCCAACTACTCGAAAAATGTCACCTTTCAGTTTTAATTTCACTTTACAAAATTCGACAACCGTCATTCAGGACTGATTTTTCGCAGGCAACCCTATACCACCGTGTTCATAATGAAATAATCTTTATTTTCATTTATATTTGATTAAATTATCAGACCGATGCAAAATGCTCTATCAATTTACCTGTTTATACCTGGCAACCCGAGAGTTATGACTGGAAAAGAATAGGCAACCTAACGTTTGCATATTCTATGGGTTTCATACTTTCGATTGGTATGGAGTTTGTTTAATAATCAAACCGATGAAATATTTAAAAATAAAACTTTTTTTAATGATTAATTAATCATATCCTGGACTGAAATTTATTAGGCAACCCTTAAGCAATATAATTATTGACATGTTAAATTGAATATAAAATATGTTTCATCAAATAAGCATCTCGGTGAAGGTCCTTGTATAGCGGGATCTTAGACTAATAATAAACCATGAATTATTTATACATTGTAACTGGTAGGTACATTACAATTTGATTGGGACCACCTACATTGTCAATTTGTGAACAACATCACGCTGTATAATTTGAAACAATGTGACTCTAGAACATAAAATCGTAAGCAGTGGGACATCCATAATAAATTACCACGCTGATGCTTTTTATGTAGCTCTGATTACATTGTATTTCTTGTGGTTGGTCCGCAACTTGTTATGAAAAGTGGTCAGTCAATGCCAGCTAGTGAACAGTGAAATATCGCGCATTGTTTAAAAATCAAAACAAGCGCTAAACATCTAGACGATTGTTATTTATATTTGATGGTTCAATTCAATTGGCATTTTAGCACACGTTTAATATAACAATAGTCGTTGCATCAACCACAGTTGAGTGTGTATGTTCTTTTTTTGTTCTCATAACTGTTTGAACTTCGACATTGTATGTTATGAAAATATAACGCATCGTTTTTTAATGCACAAATATGTACCAAGTGATGCGGCTATTTGACTTTTTTTTTTTGAAAGAAAGAAAGAAAAAACATTTATTTGGTACCAAAAAATTAAACAATAAGTACAATCAACTTAAAAAGCAAAATACATTGTACCAAATTGGTCTCTGTTCAGTATGAGGTCATAACGTACTGAAGAGCACGTTACGGCCACTGGTATTCTGCAGAAACCATGAAAGAGGGGTGCGTGGCCCACAGCGAACGTTACAACTTACTACAAAATTTGACAAATAGAAGAAAATAAGTAAGTGTGCATTAATTTGTGCTATAGTAATTAATAAACGACGATATGAAGTTATTTACTTAAAATTAGGTTGTCAAGGATAGCGATTCATGAATATAAGCATATTTAGAAATTTTTCGTACTGACATCTATAAAATCCGATTGTTTATAATCTCATTAAAAACATCCGTTCGATTCCAAGATTCTCAAGCTCACTGTAACTTGCTTGAATGTTTAATATCCCCGCTATTACTTATTCTTTCTGAATACAATGGGCTCCGTAAAGTTCGGAGTACGGGTATATTCGAGTCACGGGCAGCGCACGTCAACAAGCGCGGCCTTGAGTGCGCCGGCGCAGTACTAGGGCTAGGTTTATCTTGGCGTTCTGTGGCGATACACTTCAATTGGTGACTGACCGCGGCGCAGAGCTGTTGCGCGCGCGCCGACCTTCTAGTTCCGCGGCGAGTGCGCGTGCTTATCGTTTTGTTTACTCACACAAAAACGCCGGCATGATCGCACGACCCCGTGTATCACATCTCATTAAACACTGAGATTTGGACAAACAAGTGCTTTTACGGAGCTGTGATAAATAACTCGTTTCAAGATGTGGTTCTGTGTAACGTGCTACCTCGTCTCATTTATAGTCTTCCTACTCTTACTATTAACGATTTTCCATTACACTACAAAAGGACGCAAGTATTGGCTACAAAAACAAGTGCCTTACAGAGAACCATGCCCGATTTTCGGCAACTTTGGACCCGTTTTAACAATGCGAAAAACTTATACCAGTATGCTGCAGTTTTTCTATGACACATATAGAAATGAAAAGTATGTGGGAATATTTCAAGCACGCCGGCCGACGCTGATGGTGATTGATTTGGATATAGCAAAGACCGTACTTTCTAAGGAGTTTTCTAATTTTAGTGATCGCGTGTCGGTGGCGACTGACACTAGACGTGAACCACTACTTAGAAATTTGGCGAATATGAGTGGATCGGAGTGGAAAGCGATGCGGCAAATAATTACTCCCACATTTTCTTCTGCCAAGATGAAAGCTATGTTCCCTCTCATTGCAGACTGTGCTCAATCTTTGAAAAACACTCTCCTCGCAGAATCTTTAGAAGAGGTTGATATATCAAGGTTAATGAGTAGATTTACGACCGATGTCATAGGAAGCTGTGCATTCGGAGTCGATCCTGGATCTCTTAAGGACCCTGATTCACCATTTTTAAAAATGTCCTCAAAAATGTTTAGAGCTGATCGTGCTACTATACTGAAACGGTACTGTCGAGCGTTTTTCCCGAGATTATTTAAATGGCTGAATCTTAAGACATATTCCCCAGATGTGGAAACATTTTTCTCAACGATCATCAAGCAAGTTCTTACAGAAAGAAGAACTACAGGCGTTCAGCGACATGATTTTCTGCAACTGATGTTAAATGTGCAGAAAACTGACAACGCATTCGAGATGACAGATGAATTAATCACATCGAATTCATTCATATTCATGTTGGCGGGCTTAGAAACGTCGTCAACAACTTTATCGTTTTGTTTGTACCAGTTGGCTAAAGACAAGGATGTACAGGACCGAATTAGGAAAGAGATAATGGAATGCATGGAACGCCACGGCTCGTTGAATTACGATGCGGTAACATCGATGCGTTTGACGACGCAAGCTGTGATGGAAACGCTGCGAATGCACCCTCCTACACCCCTTACCACCAGATTATGCACCTCGCCATGTGTTCTTACTGGGACAGATTTAAAAATAAAATTAAAAGACCCAGTACTCATACCACTATATTGCATTCAAAGGGATCCAGAATATTTCCCGAATCCGAATAAATTTGACCCAGACCGGTTTGCAGATGATTTAAATCCTCCTGCCTTCGTAGCGTTTGGAGAAGGACCGAGAAGTTGCCCTGGTAAGTTATATTCGTTACATTTTAACGGTTACAAATACTTCAAAGAGCTTTGTAGTATTATTGCATTCAACGATTCAGAAATGAAACGAAACAATGTGTTGTAAGTTGTTGAGAATCCGAATAATTTCGGAAACAAAGCCATTGTTTACAATATTTTAACATGTGATTATTTACCAATTGCAATTACCACCGATGTGATCGAACCGAATAAAACTGTTCGTTAGTTTTTCTTTGTTTTGTAAAAATTTAAAAGAATCGGATAAGTTTAATTTTGTTTATAAATGTACATCTGACAGGAATATAAAACAAAGATTTTAAACTGGAAATTATTTATTTTAATTTGTAGGTGCCCGCTTCGCCGTACTGACCGCGGTGGCGGGACTGGCCGTTATGCTGAGCTCCTTTGAACTGGAGCCGTGCGCGAAGACAACGCCGTCCATTCAGTACGACTCGCGGAGCGTTTTGCTCAAGAACAAGGGCGGCATTTGGCTTCGATTCAAACCTCTCTCTTCGTGATGTTAATTTAGTAAAAATAAGTTACAACTAGACCAAAACAATATCTCCAATGTCGGTGATATATTTGTTGGCATTTCCGTGAACAAAAAACTGAATGTTGTTGGACGTAATCACCAAATCAAGCTACCATGTGCCTGCTGAAGTTAATTAAATTATACTCCTCCCACTTATACGTAATGGCTTTTATGATATACGAGATATTTGCAAAAGATTAACGGTATTATCGAAATTATTTTAGTTGCTTAAGTAGCTCAATAATGTTTGATTGCCTTTGGTTTATTTTCTGCAATAATCTCGCATCTCCACTTGCGTTCGTCGGTTCACGTAGTCAGATACGCGATATCATTAGTTATGCCGACTACATGCATGGCTGCGTGTGCTATCGAATGTGCTAGAGGACATGACTATTTTAGTGAAGTAATCCGCGTTTTACCTACTTTAATTTGTTTTGTTCATAGTCATCTATTACAATTATTAGACAAAGAATTCGTTAGGCATTTCGATATGGGTACAATAACTAGCCAAGCATGCAGCTGTGGAAGTTCTTTCCAGTAAATATTACGTCGATTTACCTCACAACGTTTACATCTTATAGCTTTAGAAATAAGTTAGTAATTTTAATTAAAAATCTTTAATGTTCTCTCAGATGTAGTTACTAAATCGCCTTATATACCTACATGTGTATATAACGTAGCACCTTTATTGAGAGATAGCGTTCTAATCAGTATTGAAAATATCACTAACTTTATCGAATCAAAATGACATGTTATATTGTACCTTCTGTAGTGTTATAATGTAATGTAGAGCTCTTTGTTTAAGTAAAATCATTGCTATAGGTTATGTTATAATCCAATTAAATAGTACTTACATAACTTGTTAAGTAGCGATAATTGAACGCCTGTTAATGATGCTGTAATAGTTGGTGGTACTTAAGAATATATCGATAATAAAGTGTGTGTGTGTGTGTGTGTGGGTAGTTAAATAAAACCACCGTAAATCAGCTGTATGTTGAGGTTTGCTGCTAGAACTATTTCTAAGAAAATAATTAGATTTGTATAATCTGTTATGCTCGTCCATTTTATCTTAAAATTCTGTCACGGGTTTTTACCAGCTTTCCGCCCGCGGCTTCGCCCGTGTGGAGTTTTGTCTGTTACAGAAAAACTTTATCGCGCGCGTCCCTGTTTCAAAAACCGGGATAAAAACTATCCTATGTCCTTTCCCGGGACTCAAACTATCTCTATGCCAAAGCGTGAAAGCAAGACAGACAGACTGAGTTCTGTCGCATTTATAATATTAGTATTAAATTAGACCATCAGATATACGAAACAGTTTAATGTTTCCTGTCAAACTATACCAGGAATAATTTAATATCTACTATGTTTGTCCTTTAAATCTGTTTTGGTGTCATGGGTTTTATCACTGCGCGTTGGGGCAAAGTGTAGGTTTGAAAGTAAAAATACACTTTAGTTAACTGAAGTTTTCCTTATTCATATTTATGTTATGCGTCATAAATAAAATATAGTGAGAGCTCTAATCTTATTAATAAGTGTTAGATAAAACTATCAATGTTTTGAAGTTTTTATAATTGATGCGTGGATTGATACGTAAATTATGTATTTGTTTTCGTAAGTTTTAAAGATGTATAAATTCGTAGAGGAATAGGTACTTGAAATCTGTTAGATCGAATTATACTCGTATGTACTTATTTTACCCATCAAATATTGTCTGACTGGACTACCTATGAGAAATAATTGTTTACTTGATAAGTATTTTTGTGTAATTAAGAAATAGTTAATAAGAAATTGTACTATTTTAAGATAATCTCAAATATAATATAAATCCACAAAAATATGTTTTCTTTAACAGATATTTACCACAATGTATATAAAATAAATGAAATCAGTTGTTTTCTGGTGCGTAATGCCGACAAAACAGAAATGTTGCGTTGTTACATTCTTGCACATTTGTATTGTAATTAATAATCCTTTTGTCCTAAATTAGAACAAAGGACTGAGAGTTGGGAGTATTAAAACGCAGTAACGGTCGTTACTCCTAACACACTGACTAAACGCTGTGATAACCTTTGAAGTTCTTTCTTTCTTGATGAACACCAAGACAGCTTACACAATATTGTTTACAGTTGCTATTAATATTTTTAGACAAACATATTTTGAAAAAAGTTTGCCTTTTCATCATTAAGTTAGACCCCTGAAACCCCTAATAGCAATATCATCTAATAAGATGAGGTATTTATACCTCGTAGCTCGCGGAGTTTCAAGCGCACCTAATGTAGCGTATCTAAATTATTCCTCGAACCTTTTAGGTGCGCTGATTTCGTTAATATGTATGTATACCTAAAAGGTACGCTATTGCGCGCAACTCAATTTAGTAAGTAGGAAAGCAGCATCTCTACACAAATTGCTGTAATTTTCTACTCTGTTACGTAAATGTGTCTTGTATTTTTTCAGGTTTTAGAGAGCGATTGTCTTGACCAGTTGAAAATTAATAACATATTGGACATCTGCATCGAAATACTTGTCGACTTTTGCAACGAGAAAGATTACGAAAAATCTCTAGGTAACTGTTAAATTGCATCTCAATTCTTTATTTTTAAATTTTTCGCAAATTATTATGATATTTCAGCTGATTTGCATCTATTGACATAAATGATTATCTTTCGCGCTACATGCTCCGATTAGGGAGTGCATTTATCTCACTTGAGTATGCCAAAGGAGATTGCTGCGGGCTCGATATGCCATATATCAAACTATGATAACACAACAATGATTAAGGAATGTGCTTATCACGTATGTTTTGTTTGTGCTAAGAACAAACGGTTTTTTGGATTGCTTTTGCGAAACCTAAAATTTTTCTATTAAAATTTTGAATTCAATTTATTACATGCACGATGCATAGTAAAACCAATTATTAGTAGTTCCGTATTGCTAAATATACATTAATAAATTGTTTCAGAAGTAATTTGCTCAATAAATGAAGCGTTAATGGAATAGTCGTTACTTAGTAACTTTAATGGAACTGCAGCCATTAATGTGTTTTAAATTGATTTAAGTTAATTATGTTAATGTATATTTGCAGAGCCAAACGTGCCCTTGTCCATACTCGAAAGGTTCACGGAACTCGAGGTGCGTTCGCACAAATGTGGGGATGTGCACGTTTCTCCCTCCCTGACTTCGTTCCGTGGCGCGCCGCCTCCTAGTGCGGCGCTAGTGAGCGCAGTAGCTGATATGATGCATAACGTCAGCGCCTTTGCGCATGCACCGGTGCAAGCCTGGAACGAGAAGGGTCTTTATAGACTTCTTTTCAGGTATTATATTTGATAACTTGATAGTGGAAATTGATTGGGATTTAGATAGCACCCTAAATCCCATGTTTATAAATAAGTACGAGTACCTAATTTAAACGCTTATGTTTCATGCGCTAGTGGGCACACACCATCGGGGAATACCATTATCTTCTGAGAACTACAACATTGGAGGGGACATTCAAAGATTACACTGATAATTTAATTACACACATGAAAAAACAACAATTTTCCAGGTTCAAGTTCCTTCAGAAGTACATAAATTTCTTTCATTACATCGCGCCATCTAGTCCCAAATTAAGAAAAGCTTGTACCAAATAGGCACTTTCAAATTTTTTGCTAATTATGTCCCTTCCCTTTCAAAAAAATCTATATTTATGTTTAATTAACCATAATCTAATCGTCAAAAATGGTTTGTGATTCCAGGTGCGCGTCTCTATCAAACGGTCCCAAGACCGATATACACCGGGTGCGGGCGGCGTCGTGTCGCGCGCTGGTTGCTGCGACGTCGCACCGTTGCGTACGCGCAACTCTCGCTTCAACCAAGGATTGTCTGCATAACATGCTGCTCACGCTCACGCCATTACCAGAAGGTAATTTATACATAACAGATCACATTTGCTGTAGCACCCATTGTTGAAGTTTACTTACCGTTTGCATGAATTTTGAGCAAGCATTTGTTTTAGCAATGATAGGAGCGCCTTCTAGAATCTAAGAATTCAGCAGGATCAGAATGCACCTTCTTAGCCCTTTAGGTAAACCAAAGTACAGCAAGGGACTATAATGTGTTCAGTATAGTAGGTACTATTTGAGTCATGTCGCATGTCACCCAGCGAAAGCAACGCTAACATAGCTTTGTAATTATGAAGTTCGCCATACGTTAAATATGTCCCTAGGCGCAGGTGAAATTGGAACTTTCACCCCAGAAGAACAAATACTGCTCTATCCAATAGAGGCAAGACTCGAACACAAAGGCGACTATAATTGTTCAAAATCGGTCATTGTAATATCCTCTATTGAGTTATAACCGCCGCTCAATACAAATATTAAAAAATAATACAATGCAATAATGTATCGACAATAAAAAGCAACATTTCGAAAACCAATTGGACAATAGAAGCTTAATTTTGGATTTAATGGCTTGCATTGAGGATGTTTACTCTGTGATATGCTTATGATGATTGATCACATGTAATTTCCGTCGAATTAAGTTAGTGACGATTCGCAAAAAAACAGTTCTTCATACCAATGATTTGAAATTACTAGGATGTTTATTTAGGAAGATCAGAATAGTATATTTGTATTTGCATAAGAAATCTTGGTGGGCAATCGAGCTTGGTCATACCCGATAAGCGCAAGATACAAATAGAGATAGTGTTATCAGAAGTTTCGCTCTAAATAAATAAACTTATCAAGATTATTCAACTATCATCTCTTGGAATAGTACCTACTTTAGGTATTAGTACTAGCCGTAGAATACATTTTGTCAATTATTGCTTGTTACGCTCTGTTTTCACCCAATTTTTACTGTTGATAATTTTGATAAAAACATTCTAAATGATAAGAACTTGATAATTTTCATCGTGGCCATTAAATTAATTCATTTAAAATTCTTCCAAATTGAGTCATATATTTTATCGTAATTGTATTTGTCTCACATATAAAACGTTAATCTCTATTAGATACGCGATTTTTCTGCGGTCATTAAACTATTATATTTTTTACTATAATCCAGTACCACTTTTGAAATACTTTTCATTATTTTTTTCTTTTTAATAATATCATAGCAGCGTAAATTTGTGTCTACAAGATTATGTTCTTCTGATTAATTTCGTTGCGGGTCCAATGACAGTTTAACTTTCTCCGTGACAAACTTGACCTTTAATGCTTGGGTTTTTATTGGCCGTCGAGCTCTAAATCCTGGCTACACAGGAGTTGCAGCGGTGGGAACGACAGGTGGGAATAGTCCCCTACTCCGTTCTTTAGAGGGCATTTAGCAGTCGACTCGATTGAGTCATCTCAGACGCCTATGTCGGTTCAATATTTCAAACCAGGGTTGTAATCTAAGTTCTTACCCACACGATAAGAGAAAAAGAGAGTCTTATAAAGCGTAACGTAAAAGAGTGTATCACATACCAAAATAAAGTGGAAGAAGTAGTCGTATAAAATACATCTTGTCAATGTTATCCGTACTTTTCTAGATGAAATGGACGCAGAATGCATATCAGCCCGTACGCAGGCTCTGCTGTTGCTAGCGTCGCTTCTCAGCGAGCGCGGTGCCGCCGACAGCGTGTGGGAAAACGTGCTCGGGAGTCGACTGACTTCTTTCTTCTGCTTCCTGCTGCAGTGTCTGGAAGGCGATGAACTTGGTAAGTTGACAAGTAGGATGCAAGTGATATGATTAAGTATTGGTAATTGATGTTGTTTTAATTTTAAGATAGAAATGTTTATGAAGTAGGAGAAAAGATGAGGGATTTGGGTGGAGAATACACCTTACATGTTTAGTTACAGGAAATGTTCTTTGAGACCTTCTGTTACTTTTGGAGATATTAAACATTTAATTGTTTCAAGAAATAGCCTATGGGAATTAAAGTCAGAGCACTGTAATTATTCTTAACCCATGTAATACTATTTATGATTTACGGAAGCTAATTTTTATTAAAATTTAAAATATACATACCCACTTATATTTTTTTTACTTTACTGCAGGCGTATGGAACGAAGTGAGTAATTTTAAACACAATAAATGAGATTACATAACAAGTTAAACGCTCCTTTGGCAGTTACATAATGTTCGTACACTATTTTTTCAGAGCTTCAAGCCGCTGCCTTGTTTTGTTTGACACAACTGGCCCAATCCATGACGCAGAAGCGACACATGGACAAGTCACGTGACGAGTCCAGACTTCAGTTCTTCGATAACCTGAAATCGACTTCATCGTCTCATGAAGTAGAAGAAAGGAACGGTGGCGGAGACAGTGCGAGAGACGATTGCCGTCCAGAGTACATGGCAGAAGAATTCTGTAGAGTATTGATCAGGCTGTACAGGAAGATCTCGCTGGAAAACAAGAAGTTTCAGTGCAGTCAAGGTTAGAGTGCATTTTGTAAAATGAATAAATAAATTCAGGACCTGAGTAAGGGTTAATTTAAACTAGCTAAAACGACACAGGATCGGAACCATGTCGCCTCTTCTATCAATTTCTCTAGTCGATGCATCGTGTTTTTATAGATTTCTAGTTTGTTGGGATATAAAATATTCCCGTTCGTTACCCCCTTGAGCTAAAGTAAATAATTATAAAATATGATTGTGTTACGAGTGAGTTTACAAAAATAAGTCTAAGAATATCGAAATAGCAACCTCTGTATTAGAGTAACAAGTTAATTATAACATGCATCTTTCTATTCTACATGCTAGATGACCCATGGACTCGCGTGTGTTCATCCCTATCATCGCTACTCTCCGCAAGCGGGCGGAGTCGAGCGTTCGCAGTACACCGCGGGCTTCCTTCGACGCTGCTGCTGACGCTGCAAGCCGTGCGCGACCACCTCTCCGTACTCGGAAAGCCGATAGAGACCATCAAGAACGCCAACCACGTATGTAAATGTTCTACAAGTTATGTAGTGTCTACGCTAGGTGAGCCATGGACGCGCGTGTATTAGTTTCTATCATCGCGCAAGCGGGCGGAGCCGAAGCGTTCGCAGTACACCGCGGGCTCCCTTCGACGCTGCTGCTGACGCTGCAAGCCGTGCGCGACCACCTCTCTGTCCTAGGCAAGCCGATAGAGACCATCAAGAATGCTAACCACGTATGTTAATGTTCTACAAGTTATGTGTAGTGTCTACACTAGATGAACCATAGACGCCTGTGTATTAGTTTCTATCATCGCGCAAGCGGGTGGAACCTAGCATTCGCAGTACACCGCGGGCTCCCTTCGACGCTGCTTCTGACGCTGCAAGCCGTGCGCGACCACCTCTCCGTACTCGGAAAGCCGATAGAGACCATCAAGAATGCTAACCACGTATGTTAATGTTCTAGAAGTTATCATGTAGTGTCTACGCTAGGTGAACCACGGATGCACGTGTATTAGTTTATATCATCGCGCAAGCGGGCGGAGCCGCTCCTTCGCAGTACACCGCGGGGTCCCTTCGACGCTGCTGTTGACGCTGCAAGCCGTGTGCGACCATCTCTCCGTACTGGGGAAGCCGATAGAGACCGCGTAGACACTAGTCTACGCTAGGTGAACCATGGACGCGCGTGTAATAGTTTCTATCATCGCGCAAGCGGGCGGAGCCGAGCGTTCGCAGTACACCGCGGGCTCCCTTCGATGCTGCTGCTGACGCTGCAAGCCGTGCGCGACCACCTCTCCGTACTGGGGAAGCCGATAGAGGCCATCAAGAACGCTAACCACGTATGTAAATGTTCTAGAAGTTATCATGTAGTGTCTACGCTAGGTGAACCACGGATGCGCGTGTATTAGTTTCTATCATCGTACAAGCGGGCGGAGCCGAAGCATTCGCAGTGCACCGCGGGCTCCCTTCGACGCTGCTGCTGACGCTGCAAGCCGTGCGCGACCACCTCTCCGTACTGGGGAAGCCGATAGAGACCATCAAAAATGCTAACCACGTATGTAAAGAAGAGAAAAATTATGTATAGTGTCTATGCTAGGTCAACCATGGACACGCGTGTATTAGTTTCTATCATCGCGCAAGCGGGCGGAGCCGCTCCTTCGCAGTACACCGCGGGGTCCCTTCGACGCTGCTGTTGACGCTGCAAGCCGTGTGCGACCATCTCTTCGTACTGGGGAAGCCGATAGAGACCGCGTAGACACTAGTCTACGCTAGGTCAACCATGGACGCGCGTGTATTAGTTTCTATCATAGCGCAAGCGGGTGGAGCCGCTCCTTCGCAGTACACCGCGGGGTCCCTTCGACGCTGCTGTTGACGCTGCAAGCCGTGTGCGACCATCTCTCCGTACTGGGGAAGCCGATAGAGACCGCGTAGACACTAGTCTACGCTAGTTGAACCATGGACGCGCGTGTATTAGTTTTTATCATCGCGCAAGCGGGTGGAGCCAAGCGTTTGCAGTACACCGCGGGCTCCCTTCGACGCTGTTGCTGACGCTGCAAACCGTGCGCGACCACCTCTCCGTACTAGGGAAGCCGATAGAGACCATCAAGAATGCTAACCACGTATGTAAATGTCCTAGAAGTTATCTATCATGTAGTGTCTACGCTAGATGACCCATGGATTCGCGTATGTTCATCCCTCTCATCGCTGCTCTCCGATTATCTTGGGACAAATGGAAGGCAGACGTGTTCGGGGCAGGGTACCGACGAGATGGTCAGACGCGGTGAGGATGACGGGTGGAAGTTTACGTCGAGATAGATATAGATAATATAGATAGAACACACTATATTGTACTCCACGCAAGACAAGAAAATAAAACACATTAAACTGGGCTTGAATGTGTTGGAAAAGGAAGCTTCCCTGTTTGACATTGTATTTGGCATGTGGAAAATTGAAGAGCGTCGTGTTTCTGTAGTGGAGACACAATGTTGATGATGATTTAATATACCGTTATATCTTCAATTTCCAGCACCCGACGCTGCGGATTCTCTACTGGCTGCTCATAGTCATCAACAGCTCCATGGTAGAGTGCCCAGCGTCCAAGGAGTCTTTCACTGACGCTGGCCTCGCGATGTTTCTGAACTCTTTCTTTCCACTTCCAACAACTAAATACCATTATTAAATTTCCAGCACCCAACGCTGCGGATTCTCTACTGGCTGCTCATAGTCATCAACAGCTCCATGGTACAGTGCCCAGCGTCCAAGGACTCGTTCGCTGAGGCCGGTATCGCGGTCTCACTGAACCGACTGTGGGCGTGGTGCATGATGACTGAGCAGTTGCGGCGCGCGGTCGTTGACCTGTTGTTTAACTTTGCCAATGAATGTCCTAAAGGTAAGATCGTCTTTTATCTTCGATACTTCTTTAAGGGCTGATTTTTCAATTATAGGATAACTTTTAACTGAAGAATAAGTTTGGCACATTGACAGTTTCAGTTCGGGAAATATGTCAAAATGACAACTTTATTCTTCAGATAAAAGTTATCCGACGATTGAAAAATCAGCCCTAACAGAATTATAATATTTGATGTTTTTTTTAATAAAATTTGCCAATTATTACATCAAGACCAATCTAAGTAGAGCGATTAGATTACAGATATTTATCCTGGGAATATCTATGACTCTAGATACTAGACATATACATGGTCTAATTCTCTATCGAGATCTAATCCCACTAAAAGAGTGTAAAAGTGCTTTTTAAAAGCAAAAGAGTTGTATGAGTTTTCACTGAGAGAAGGGGTTAAGAAAATGACATACAGCATTTACTTTATCAAAAAGCGGTATGATCAGAAATTGTTATTGTATTAATAAGTAGACTCATCTAATCATATTGATTTGGCGCTCACTTGTTTATATCTTGTGAAGCTAATTAATTCTTATACAATTTTATAGCTTGGTCAGCGATGGCCACGTGTGTGGGTAGTCGCAACTTGATCACGGAGGTGTGCGCGCTAGCCTGTCGCGAGGCGGCGCTAGCGTCGCGCACGCACACAGACAACCTGCTGCTGCTGTGTACGCACACGCTCAGGCACTGCGTGAGCCATCACCAGTGTCGCGCTATCATTATAAAGGTAACGTCAGACAAAATAAATATGCTTGGACGTTTTACACTGCGCCCTCTAGTCTAGTCTTATGGGTACTAGAAAACCGATAAAAACATGTTTAAATCTCACTCTGTTTTTAGTATATGTTTAAACTAATACGTTCGTTATAAACCACACAAATATTTGTATTCTACTCGATTGAGTCTTTTCATAAAATCTAACACCGGGGTTGATACCTCAGTTGTCACAACTCAAACTATAGAAGATGTCATCTTCTCATCTTCAAGATTAAAATTATCATAAGACCTCCAATCCTCATTTTTAAATTTTAAATTCCCAGAACGACGTGATACCATCCATCTACAAATCAATCGTGCGAGACCGCGGGCGCGGCGGTGGCAACGCGGGCGTAGCCTGGGCCAAGCTGTGTTCCGTCATCGCGCGCTACCCCGACGGCGCCGGCGCATTGCTGACCCTTAGGCCGCTCCTGCCGGCACTGCCGCCGGCTCTGCGGGCCCACCTCATGCCGGCCCTGGCACACGCCGCTCATCATCATAGGACTACGTTTCTACAGTCGCGTAAGTGTCATGAAGTAACGTAGGCTGTGTTCCGTCATCGCCCGTTACCCAGACGGCGGCGACGCATTGCTGACCCTTAGGCCGCTCCTGCCGGCACTGCCGCCGGCTCTGCGGGCCCACCTCATGCCGGCCCTGGCACACGCCGCTCATCATCATAGGACTACATTTCTACAGTCGCGTAAGTGTCATGAAGGCTGTCACGTAGGCTGTGTTCCGTCATCGCCCGTTACCCAGACGGCGGCGACGCATTGCTGACCCTTAGGCCTCAGCCTCGAACTTAGCGGGCAGCGGGGCGGGAGCGGCGGCGGCGCTAGAGCGGGGCGGGCAGCGCAGACCCGTTCTCGAAACAAGCGGGCAGCTCGCGCGGCGCTTTAGCGGCGAAGTGTTGTGTTCGGGGTTGTGTTGTCGAGATATTTGTTTTTATTCGCAAACGAAATGTCTGAACAACGGCGACAATTTTATTTCGATTCAAATTTATAACCTAACGCTCGATTTATTGTGGGCAAAAGAAGGAGTGCGCTCTGCCCGCTCGTTGCCCGCTCCCTCGCCGCTGCCCGCTCGTTGCCCGCTGCCGCCCCGCTGCCGCGCCGCTGTTTTCGAGAACCGGTCTATTTGATTTTACGCATAAGATCCTGCCGCTCCCGCGCCGCCGCCGCCGCCGCCCCGCTGCCCGCTAAGTTCGAGGCTGAGGCCTAAGGCCGCTTCTGCCGGCACTGCCGCCGGCTCTGCGGGCTCACCTCATGCCGGCTCTGGCACACGCCGCTCATCATCATAGGACTACGTTCCTACAGTCGCGTAAGTGTTATGAACAATAGCTAAGTAATAGTTACTTTGCTATTACGTGCTGCAGGGCACAGGTCTGTGGAGTAACTCGGCTCAGGTCACACTCCATCACGCGGGCCCAGCGCGGATTGGACGTGCCTTTCAAAGTACAGATATGCTTGTGATAAATGTTACTAAATATGGTCTAAAGTTAACGCATCTCATCGACCACAACGTAGGTTGCTTAATCATTGGTGGTCGCCACCAAAGTATTCGGAAACTGACTTTCAAATAACATTGTTGGAAGAACGTATTTATTTACACTTGCGTATTACGTTACGGGACCAGTTCATGTCAGAGTCATATTTCCGCAGTCATGAACGTCACACTTGCAATGAAAATAGCCAAAGGTAGAGTCATAGATATGTAAGCGACATCCTACGTAAACACCGGAACTGTTTAACGTGAGGAGTTCTACAAACGTGTCAGTCACGTGTATTGCCATTTGGAATTTGAAAGTTTTAACCAGGCCTGTTCATCTCCGCGAGTTTACATCGAAAACAAAACACGCACGATTGCCCACCTACAGGATACTATTCGACAAGGCCTCACATACGAGCGAACATTGACTCACGCACGCGTATTCTTGTGTATGATGGAAGAAAATAAGGAAAATGGTGTACTAAATACTGTGTAATATTTAACTGCCTAAATAATAATAAAAACACAGAATGTACTTATTTAAGTTGCCTCAAGACACTGAGAGGTAAATAAGTAGTTAATATTATTCATGATAATTCATGCTAAATCATGTATTTCCTCCGCAGTTTGGCACCTCACGTCACATCATTTTACCGAAGTCAGCCCTATAGCTTCGGCGCAGTGCCGATCACTGACGTTTGTCAACAAAATGGTGCTTGACTCTTGAGACAGGCTAAATTACACCATATTGTTAATGATATTGAGCATACATTTTTTTAAATACTTTCGCGAAGTAAAACTTCTGTACGTAGTACTTATTATTATTCTGTGGTTTTAACTAAGTATTTTTATATGTTTAGTGAATTACAAAAAAAAAAAAATCTGGAGACTAACACATTTTCAGGTTTTATAAATTACAAGTAAATAATATGTATTCATTAGACCATCATCAATGCTACAAACATCAGTTACTCATGTCATACTGGCAAATAATCCCCGTGCATGTAGGGTGACACTGAAAGTCGATAAATTCTTAATGAGGGAGACTATTTGGGGTTTACTTACGTAATTGTTCAACTATGTTTTCTGAATTTTCTGTATCTTTAAATGCTGTAATTTTGAATGCTGTTGATGAACGAACATACACGTGCCTAATTTTTTTTGGTGACGTGCTTAAATAGAGCATATTACATTATATTTACAACCGGAAGCTGAAGGCGTTGACAACATACCGTTTGACGTTTATTGTTACTTGCCTTTACTACAAAGATAACATGCCTTCAAACGGGTTTTCTCGAAATAATTACACAATTTGTAGGTACTCTGGTGGCTGATTGCGTAAGTTACGAGTATTATCAGGCCTGTTCATCTCCGCGAGTTTACATCGAAAACAAACACGCACGATGGCCCACCTACAGGATACTATTAGATAAGGCCTCACATACGAGCGAACATTGACTCACGCACGCGTATTCTTGTGTATGATGGAAGAAAATAAAGAAAATGGTCTACTAAATACTGTGCAGTATTTAACTGCCTAAATAATAATAAAAACACAGAATGTAGTTTTTTAAGTTGCCTCAAGATACTGAGAGGTAAATAAGTAGTTAATATTATTCATGATAATTCATGATAAATCATGTATTTCCTCCGCCATTTTCCGCAGTTTGGCACCTCATGTCACATCATTTTACCGAAGTCAGCCCTATAGCTTCGGCGCAGTGCCGATCACTGACGTTTGTCAACAAAATGGTGCTTGACTCTTGAGACAGGCTAAATTACACCATATTGTTAATGATATTGAGCATACATTTTTTTAAATACTTTCGCGAAGTAAAACTTCTGTACGTAGTACTTATTATTATTCTGTGGTATTATTCAAAATTATACAATAATAATACAGTGTCTTGTAATTTTGGATTTTATGGCAAGGAAAATTTAGCTCAATGTAACTGAACTGTGAAAATGTATTGCTAATGTCTCATTATAATAAACAAACATTTAATTTTAAGTGTCAAAGTAGGTAATGAATTATTTATATGCCTATCATGTAGTCATTGTTATTTGTTATCAAGTTATTTGAAAGTTAATGAAAAGTTGAGCAAACATTGAGATGGCTTCAGACAAGCTGGATAGAATAGACAGATATCTTTTGAGCCTTCCTTCAAGTTGGCAAACAAAAAGGTCATGCGCCATTTATTTGCATACAAAACTGTTATTGTTTTATATTTCTCGTCCTTTCTCGAAACATCATCCTAGAGATGATCCACCTCCCATTTTGATATTTCTTATCCTTTCTCGAAACATCATCCTAGAGATGATCCACCTCCCAATAGAAATAAATAAAATTTAAAAGATTTGATATAGAGCTTCCATTTGAATGTCTTGGTCTGTAATTGACACATTTTTCGTAATTCGATTCAGTAGATGAAAGTTGATTGATTGAGCATAAATAAATCTCAATAATATTCAGTAAGAGTACTGTCTATAGCACGTCGGACTACACATTTTTGTTGTGAAATTCGACAACTACGTAAGTTGCTATAGTGTTGCTGTGTTTATTTAGATCAGTTGACCTCTGCATCTTTATTAATTAATGTATTTAAAAACAAAATCTTAATGTAATAATTGATTTTGCAGCGGATCTCCTAGAGTTGCTGTCGGGCACGCTCCTTGCCGGTGACACTGCCGAGGTGGTGTCGGCTGCTCGCGCGGTGTGGACGCTCGCCGCCAACAATCATAAGGTAATAGTAACTCGGTAAGGTTAGCTTAAGCGTTGTGATTCATCTTTCGTTAAAAATATATTATTACCTACAACAGAACGGAGATGTTGCGTTTTTGATGATAGGTTGTATGTTTGTGTTATTCTTTCCAAATTTTCATATTCGGGATCCGGTTTGATACAAAAAGTATGTGTTTACTTGTGTGTTATTGTTGACAAACCCGAACAGTCAATCTTCAAGTTCGACAGGTCAGATGCGCATCTTGATTTATTTATGAGTTGTTATTGTCACCTGTTCCAATATTATAGTTGATTATTCACAGATATATTAAAATTAAGGAGTTATAAGCTTGTACGTTGTGAAATAAGGTGTTTTTAAATGTTTACAGTACCTAGAAGTTTAGTATGTTTAAAATAAAACACATTCAAAAAACTTAAAAATTTTGAGTAAAGGAAATCTATTACACAGTTTCTCAATATAACACAGGTTTAACTTGTTTACGTCATTTTGACGTGGGTACAATATTTTTGCACTTTGAAATTACTGACCTTTCTTGATATAAGTTTTTATGAAACTACAATATAAATATAATTATTTTGTAAATTTTATTCTATTCCCCGTTGCTATGGGGCTTGATAGACATTGCAAACATCATGATAGGTTTTGTGTTAGTCATTATATTTATTTGGTTTACCACCTTTCTGTCCATTGAAGTGATGTGCTTATAGCATGTGGCGTTTGTGTGTTTATACTTATTAGGATTTTCTTTTTAGTGTATTTTGGTTTGTACACTAATGTCAAAATCTATCATTACTTTTGGATTTAACTGCTTGTTGATTTAATATGGCGAAATGTCAAATTGTACAGAAAACGGGACTATTCCCACTTCTCGTTCCCACCGCAGCAACTCCTGTGTAGCCAGGATCTACAGCTTGACCGCCAATAAAAACCCAACCAGTAAAGGTCAAGTTTGTCCCGGGGAAAGTTAACTGTCATTGGATTGTCATTAATCAGAAGAACATAGGAGGAGTTCGAAATTGTACAGTAGTGTTTCAGTGTGTGTGTCTGCCTGCTGTGTGTTTTAGACTATAATCGAGTGTAAGATAATGTTTGGGCTTAATTATTTTTTGCGAACATGATGTATGTGTGTTTTGTGCCTATTAAAAACGCTGTTAATGCTGTTATCTTAAAATTTAATTTAACATACCATGAATGTTTTTGTGTTTTCTGTAGAGATAGTATGTTTCTAACCGCGTTCAATGGTATTGCACGCGGGCACATTTATGCATATTACAGCTAATTCGGAACTAACAATACGTAATATGTATATTGGTAGTGGTTAAAATGGAAGTGAATTTTGTATTGTTCTAAATGTATATGCAGTAAGCTTAGAACCCCTGAACCAATAGCGGTATTGGATGTTTGAAAATACAAAAATACACTACCTTTTTGCTACTATTTGATACCGATTAATAGCAAAAAAACGTGTAAAGAGATAGTGGCCAAACATCCTGATTCCTGACGTCAGGACGTCTTTTTTTCATAGTTCGAGATAGCAAAAATGACTAATCTCTTTATAAATATTTACTACCTTTGAAGTACCTCTTAAGTTTAACCCTTAACCAGGCTCCGGTGGCCATAGAGCCCACATCATTTGAACTTTATGCTGTGATGATACGGTTGAAATCCAGTGACTTTTTTGCGCGGTCCTAATTATGATAAAGTATAAATTTGTCTCCAGGCCAAATTAGTGCTACGCAGCGCAGGCGTGGCGGCGTCCGCGCAGTCAGCGCTGCAGCGGCTGCAGCGAGCGACCGACCCCGCCGCCCGCAGAGCGAGCGAGCTGCTTCTCTACACTACTAGCGTGCTGCGGGTCACGTGATATGTTGGACTAGTGGGGAAATGTGGGGAATTCCAAAAGAAGAACACGAGGATTTGATAGGGTTGGCCGACATTCCATTGTTACGCTTTTATACATAGCTAATTACTGTTTTTCTACGATTATAGTCTGGTCCGTGAGCACATAGAATTTTGTCCAATGACCCCTAGCTACCCATCCTTATCGCTCGCGCGTAATTATGTTGCTATCGCGCTCGCACACTCACTGCGGGTGCCAGTCGCACAGTCGCGACAGCAATATAATTACGCGCGAGCGATAAGGAAGGATGGGTAGCTAGGGGTCATTGGACCAAATTCTACGTGCTCACGGACCGGGCTTTCGCACTTTTGATTTAGAAGTTCTGTACAGCTAAAGAAAAATTGGAGCACCACCTACTGAGTCAGATGGCATGCGAGCAGTTGTTCTTTAACTGCAGCGTGCTGCCTGCGATTCGCATGAAAACTTGGGATAATATGGAAATTTAGAATTTTCTACTGGTGGTGAAGAGCTCCTAATTGGGTCACTAGGTTCTTATTAAGTTTCGGTAAAGAATGAATAGGGCCACTATTGATTAACGACCAACATTAATTATCTGAATTAATAACAAATACGAAACTGCCGATTTTCTTCTTCTATTATTCCTTATTGATTGAAATTCAATTTCAAAAATACAGTGTGAGTCACGTTAAAGTGTACATATGAAAATAGATGAAACTAGACCTATTTTTATCGACAAAAAAGAGGTCAAAAATTTTTTGAGATTTTTTTTTATTTTTTTATAGAATTTTTTTTCTTCCAATTACTTATTGTAAAGAAAACGTAATAACTTTTAAACTAAGCGGTATATCCTGATAAAATAAAAACAGTAATAATGCTAAATAACAGGCAATACTAAAAAAATACATAAAATACACAAAAAAGGCCAACAAATAATAAAAAATGATAATTTTTGAAAAAAATCTGCTTAAAAATTCGTGTTTTTTTGGTTATTTGATAAATTTCTCCAAAAAATGCCCCTATAACTGGTGGTTTTTATTACTTTGTATTATTCTCTATCGTATTATCTTTGTAAAACTAAAAATCGCATGTCTCTATCCCTATCACAACATTTGCTATGATCGTTTGAACAAAGGCCTGCCACAACATTATTCTCCGCAACAGGTAGAGACAATTTTAATTTTAACTAAAATGCTTATTTTACTTCGAAATCTTTTGTTTTTATTTGAAATCTAACTTGTCTTTATCAAAATTACAAATCTAGAGCCATTTTCAGTTTTGTTGTTAACGAAGCGTTGAATGGCGCGCCCGGAGAGGCTTAGTTCAAACGATCATTGCAAACGTTGTGATAGGGATAGAGACATGCGATTTTTGGTTTTACGAAGGTAATACGATAGAGAATAATACAAAGTAATAAAAACCACCAGTTATAGGGGCATTTTTTGGAGAAATTTATCAAATAACCAAAAAAACACGAATTTTTAAGCAGATTTTTTTCAAAAAGTATAATTTTTTATTATTTTTTGGCCTTTTTTGTGTATTTTATGTATTTTTTTAGTATCGCCTGTTATTTAGCATTATTACTGTTTTTATTTTATTAGGATATACCGCTTAGTTTAAAAGTTATTACGTTTTCTTTACATTAAGTAATTGGAAGAAAAAAAATTCTATAAAAAATTAAAAAAAAAATCTCAAAAAATTTTTGACCTCTTTTTTGTCGATAAAAACAGGTCTAGTTTTATCTATTTTCATATGTACACTTTAACGTGACTCACACTGTATACGTGTATAAGTTTGGGTTGGATATTAAAATAATCCTAAAACAATAAAATTGCTATATAGAATCGCTGCAGTATTATACAGTAACCATGTGATGGTTAACGTGTTCCAAAGTCAAGTCCGAAGCATGCTCCCGGTCACATGCTCATAGGATTTGCAGTGTTAGCCTGGGTGATTATGTTTGCGCACCTTTATGACACTGCCTTAAATATCTCCATCTATTTGCTTAGCAGCGGAAAGTATTATTAGAAATGACTTCTGGGTTTTCCCATTTTTAATGGAAGCAATTTGCGCGTAGACAATCAAGAAAGGTTATTTTATTTACATATTAGTTACAATCTCATCTTAAGGTAGGATTTGCCCTGAAGATGTCTATTCACTTGTACCTGGATGGCATTGGGGCTCTATGAATTAAGGAACCAGACTGATTTAGTGACAGAAATAAACTGTAGTGAAATAGTAAATATCACCTCAATTTCTAAAAGCGATGTATTAAAAATTTGTGCGGTGTATTTTTGTAAATTTTTACTCAGATGTTCTGTTTGTAATTAGTAATGATTTATTTTGTAAAATAAACTTTAATTTATGAATATTTGCTGTTTTATTTTCTCATATAACGTTTAACACAAAGTTAAACTAATGTCCAATTAGCTGTACAAAGTAATTAGTGTATAACACAATGGAAAACAGAAGCATATCAAACTCGCACTCTTATCACACTCAATATTGTTTCAGTACTTACAATGCAAACGAGATTTATTGCAGACCATTTGTAATGTTTTATCCTCACATATTTTATAGTAAGATGACCAATAAATTAAGTAGCATTATGGATGTAAATTACGTAAATATAACAAAACAAATTGGTGTAATCGAAAATAATCCTCTTGCATTAATAAATTAAGCAAGACATCTCAGTTCTTATAGCTTATTAGTGCATTTCGAAACCGGATTGTTTTATGTACAACGTCGTCTCTCGCCTGCATAAACGAAAACAATGCCTATTGTTATTATGTATATTGGAGTGTACGAGAGCGAGGCTGTAAGTAACGTAACGTTCAGTTGCTCATTCCTCGGTGCGTCAATTGTTTATTTATTGTAAAGTTATGTAGGTATCGTATAAACCGCGGTGACGGGCGCATACCCTCAGTTCCCAATGTCGAAACTGGCAACGACTACATGTGTCCGCGGCAGTGCTCACCGGGCCGGGTCCGCGATAAGGCTCCGTGTCGATAGCCGTACGATCGCGCACACGGTGGCCAATAATTTTACGGGAAGTTTGCGTTACTCATTATCGGCGTAAAGAACGATAATAATCCGCGTGTGTACAGACGCCGGCCGCGTCAGTGCGTTCGCGCGCCCCGCCGCAGGCCGCGCTCGCGTCGCCTCGGGCTTCGAGCGCGATCAATAAGGAACAATGAATCGGCCCGACCTCTTTTGGCGGCGCAACATCTGACCGCGGCCTTTGCGAGACCGTGTCAGTGTCGCGAGTGTGTCGAGATGTCGTCCCCGCGGTTCAGCTTCCCGCCGGAGAGCTACTCGGCGGTGTACAAGGGCGACCCGGCGGGCGATGCGAATGTGAGTACCGGTGAGTGGCGAGCTGGCGAGTGCGTCGTTATCGGCTGCGCGCGCGCTCGACGCGGCCACACGCGTCGTCGCGCACCGGCACCGGTGCATTCAACTCGTTTTGCGAAACATGCTTGCTTAGGTATTTTTTTGCGGTAGATCGTGTCGCGGCCAGTCTACTTTCAAACTTCATATGGCTAGCTGACTTCACTCCGCTTACAACTCCTAAACTGAGTTTTAATGAAACTGTTTACTGTATAATCTTACTTTTATCAGTTTTATTTTAAAACTGAGAAATTCAGGCGATACTTATCTACGTTTGTGTTCAGTAATGAAATCTAAATGATTTTACGGCTTCATGTTTTCCGTTAGAGCACGCACTTGGGACCACATCTGCTTGCTTTGTTCTGTCAAGGTCGACGCCGCATTATAATAATATGAGACCGCTCGTTAACTTTACCAACGGCGTCGGTTCTCCATCGTAATTTTAATATTACACATTGTTATGCGTAGGAAGCACATACATATTTTGATTCAGTATCATTGAGCATATTTTGATCTTGCTCATATATGGGTGCATTTAAAAGAACAAGTTAACCTATGCCCCAGTTACATCTTTTTAGCGAAATAAATTATCCGGTTAGACTTCAGAAATACATAGAAAGAATTTACAGCTGGTTCGTGTTCGATTGCTTTCGTAAAGAGATTGTTTTTACTAACGCACATCTATAACTGCTTACTTACCTATGCAGTACGAAAAGTATGACATTTCCAATAAGGAGGCAAGGGAAAACATTGCAATTGCACTATTTTAGCTTGGCCCTCCTTCAGTTAGATGTTATGTTACCTCCTAACCTATATCTGTGAGATAGCCAATGATTGCTGTTAGCATCTCATTCGTAAGCTCTTAGATTAATAAAACCTAGATGGATAGTCTTCATACAAACGCTTCGTCAAGAGTGAGGCAAAAATCTTATGTCATTAGTGTCAATTTTGTTGGGGAGTGTAGACAGTGAAGGCGATTTTCCCGAAAGTAGGGAAATTTTTAATACGTTTTTAATTATTTTATAACTAACAAAAACAAAACGCATCATGTACTTATTTATTTATTGAATTCAAAGTACCTACCTAATTACAATAAGATAAATCGACTGAAAAGTCTCGATTTCATAAAAAAGGAAGTGTATTTGTACGGCGAACAATTGGGAAATAAATTTTCTTGTTACTGGTATCATTCCCGTATTTAATTTTTGAAAGCCAAATTCAAGCAAAATACGCGTCGAATCGTAGTACTTACTTATGAAATGTAACACTGGTCACTTTCTTTAGTTTTTCTGATGTATTTAGACACCCTTTCACAGCACAAACCGTCTTAATTAATTAAAAGTCGTCGGACGTGTTTACCAATTTTTCACTTTGACAGTTCATGTGACGTTTACGAGTAAGCCATTCTGGCTTACTAAAATCTGCCTCACCTTTCGTGCACTGACTATCTATCTAGGTTTTATTAATCTAAGCGTAAGCTGTTAATAATGTCTTCAATGGTATTTGAAGGGCTCCGAGTTGCTCAAAAGCTTATAAAGTTCTTAAAACTTGGGAAAACAGTGTTATTAATAGCTTGCGAATGAGATGGTAACAGCAATCATTGGCAATAGAATCAATCGTCTCATGCAACCACTTGGGCACTAAATAGGTACTACCTATTTTATGACTCAGGGTTCCAAGTGTAATAAGTATTCAAAATAAGTTTTGCCCAAATGTTGATGTGCTGTTTTCAGTAAGTATGAAAATACATTGCAATCTGTTAGTCCAGCATCCTGAAATAATGTACCAACTACAGAGAACTTTTATTTATTTTTAAACCAGTATA